GCGAGCAAAAGGACGAACATGGGGTCTTGCAGACAGCGGGCCTGAGCGGAGCTGTGCACACTAAAGCGGCACCTGCCTTACCTCCCTGCACGTCACACCACCTTGCCTAGACGCCATCAACACCTGGCCCTGACACACCCACCACCACAATCGCAAATACCTGCGCCGTGAACGCAACTCCGCGACATGATTCCCCTCCTACTTAGACTGAAGCAAAGAAGCCAAGTCAGAACAAAATGCCATGAAATAACATGGAAGGAAATCAACGAAACGTGAACATGAGGTGAATAAAGACACTCTTGAAGATGTGACGTATGAGTTTAAGATCGATGATTGTTGGAATCCCTGTTGATGATGCGAGGACGGACAGTCGGAGAGTAAACGACTTGTGAAAGAATGACAATGGGAAACCAAAAGGAAGCATGACACGTGGATTCATAAAAATGGGAAAACAAGCGAAGCCCATTGGAAAGTGAAGTTATTCTCACTGTGATCCACCTCCAAAAAAGATGAAAATCCATCGGCACGGGAAGGTCTGTCCAAATAAAGATGACTAACGGGAACAAACTTCAGAAAAGAAGAGATGAATAACGACGGGTGATCAATAGGTAAAACAAAAAAAAGGGGAAATCATAAGACATGGCATCTTCCCATTGAGTGGCTACTCTTCTTCAGACTTCAATTGTCTTCTTCCCCATTTATCCTGATAGAGAGAGAGAGAGATGGTGTTGGTACAGCTAAGCCTGAACTTCCTGAGGACTGCTGGGAAAATCCAGCAGATGGATGAAGATCTGTTTGTTGAAGCTGCTTGAAGTTTGTTTGTAGAAGAGGAATGTTGTGATTCACTTTCTTAATTCTCCTTAGTTTTGAGGAAGGGGATACGTCCAGCGGCATCGAACAGAACACAGAACGACCTGGTAGTGGCACTCCTACCTTGCGCAGTTGGCATAAGCTGCTGGAGTGGAACGCCAGGTGATCCTAGAGCTACACCAGGATGCTGGAAAATCAGCCCATGGCGACCAACGTCAATCCAGGACCTCTTAGCCTGATCTGGGATTTAAAACACACAATACCCTCATAACGCAAAAAAAGCACTCGGCACAGAGCAATGACCATCGGAAGACCTTACAGGTCACCTCTCCTTCCTCGGGTTAAGACTTCAACACACAGCGCTAGTAGAGGGTGCCAAATGTCTAAAAGCAGAAGCAATTAAGAGGGAGAAAAGAAAACAAACAGAAAATAAAGCAAACAGGGAGGAAACAAAGCAACATAAGAGAGACAGGGGTCTACGATCCTTGCCCTACCTGCTTGCACCATAGCCTGTTGCCTCTTAAAGGCGTCCATGTCTCCGGGGTTCGTCATGGTGCCACCAGCCGTCCCCTGGTGTCCCTGCAAAAAAACAACCTCTCACAGGATTAGCCATAAAGATAAAACTATTCATTGTTTCTAAGTGCTCAAACAAAGTGTCGCCTCCATCACCTGAAACTGTGTCTGGACAGAGAACGCTGCAGACACATTGGGAGGAAGCTGTGTTGCTATGGCAACTGGTGTCACTGCTTGGCCATCCTTACCAGTAACAACCTTAACCTGAAAAGACACAGATTTAAAGAGTGACATGTATTCATTGGATGAAACGAACATACAGTTTTCTAGTTATAGAATTCCTTCTTGATCTTACAAAAAGAACCAGCCGATGTTATACCTCATCATTAATGACCTCCGACTGTTCTTCTTCTTCCTCTTCATCTTCAAGGTCCAAGTCATTCTGTCTCAAGTAAGTATACAAGGGAACACAGGGCTTCTTCTTAAAAGCGACATAGTCCATCATGTTCCCTTGGAGGTGCTGCAGAAAGAAAAGCTCAATCAGGTATTCTTTGAACACTTCTTTCAGGCTCTCCCTCTTCTTGCTGTGGTGTTCCATGCACAGTTTTCTCAGCTGGGCAATCTCTGGAGTAGAAGGAGCAATTTCCTCTAACCTCTTGGGAACATGTTTCCTCACAGTGGCCACAGCCATGCTGTTGGTTGCAAGAGGATTGTTGGGCATCCCTTGGTGCTGACTGGTGAGGGATGTGCTAGATGTAATGGAGGAGGGCAAACTGAATGATGTTGTGGTTGTGGTTCCTACTCCAGCAACCACACCCTGCTGCGTCTTCTCAAATATCATAGGGCGTGCCAGCTGCCCTTGAATGATACTGCTGATCTGTGGAGGTAGGTTGGAAGTGGTGATGTGACCAGGACTGCCCAAAATAGGGAGAGCAGCACTGGTAGCCACAGGACTTTGAGGTCCGAGGTGGTGGATGGTGCCTCCGGTTTGTGAGTGGGGCTGAGAGAGTCGGCGTTCCCTCACAGAGCCTGGTACTCCTGGAGAGGACAGCTGGATCTGGCCAGGTGTGGCTGGGGCAATCTGGGCCAGTCCCGTCCCTTCCTGGTAAACAAAGTGGCCACTTCCCGACGGACTGCTTAAGCTGATTTGCCGCACTATCATACCAGCGTCAACAAATCGTGTTGGACTCTGTCCACACACACCCAACGCTGTTGCAGGTGCTCCTGGCCTTGTCACACCTTGCAGAGGGACCGGGCTGTGCTGGGTGGGACTTAGGGGCTGCATGGGCTGGGGCACAGGTGAGGTGACCTGGATGTAGGAGGATGGCGCATGCTCAAACCTCCACTGAGGTGTAGTATGCTGGAATCCAGGGGATGCTGGGTTCTGGATTGGAAGTGGAGTTAGGGTGATCTGCTGGTTACCAGTCACCATCTGTCCCACATTTTGTAATGTGATGTTCATGTTCTGGCCAGTGACTGGGCTACGACTCATGATTATCTGATAATTGGGTGACTGGGGGGCAGAAGGGCTGGCAGCAGAGGAAAACGTGGTCACAGGAGATTGAGGGTGGTTAACTGTAGCTTGCTGTGTGACTGCCATGGTGGGTTGCTGCTGCTGCTCCTCTGCATCAGCCCCAGTGGCAGACTTGGATCTCTGAAGCTGTCGTTGCATATTCTGTGATCCACTTCCATGTTGCATTGCGTGACACTGTTACTATGTCTAAACACAATAATCTGTGGAAAGGGAACACAGCAAAGCACAACAATAAGTGATTTTAACTATTGAATGTGACCCAAAGAAGCGGTGGTCAGCAGGCTTTGTTTGGTAAGTCACCCAAGTGTGGCATGAATTAAGGACACATTGTTACAGAACTATAATAAACATGTTGGGCTCAGATTTCAAACATCTTAATGAATTGTAATATAAATAGGGTTCTCTTTAAATAGCATATAAAGATGATATGCATTTTTCATGTGTCAGATTATGCCATAACGTTTATACCTTTGCAATTACCTTTAAAATCGGTAAATAAATAGGTAATTGTCAGCAGTGTTGCAGCGTAATGAGCAGTTGTGTTTTGTGGCAATATTGTATTTCTATTTGATTTTACATTATTGTGTTTCTTAATTTGGCAGGTATACAATTTACTGAATTATTCTAGAACTATTCCTGTACTTATTTGTATTTTATACACCATTTCTCAAATTATTCAACAAACAATGAACTAGATCATGATATATATCAATATCTTGATATCAAATTGGATACATCTTGGATTTTTTCCACATCACCCACTTCTAGCATTAAACTGTAGGTCATCATAAATACATACACACATGTAGAGTCCACATGCATTTAGATGAATGTAATGTAGAAACAGAGGGCAGGTGGTGGTCAGTACACTTGACAGCTACACACCTGACAGCTGGCACATCTTCACACATATTAAAATGTGATTATTATTGTGTACAGCTATGGAATGCTTTAATAACAAAGTACTGTTACCTTAAAGAGCGGATCATACACCTGGCAAGCAGTTCATGTTATTTTTAAATTACATCTTTAACGTATAACATAGCTACAACCATCTTTACACTATATATCTAGCGTAATGTGCACCTGTACGTGTGTGCCAGACAATATATCTAGATATAGATATATTGTCCTGTAATGGAAGTGATGGTAGATCTTGTTTACTGTTGTGATTAATCAGCCAAAGACAACCTGGACAGCAAACAAAGGTGATATACTGATGTTGGTGATCTGTTACTATTGGCCTATTACAGTAGCGCTAGCTAAATGCACGTTACAGAGATTGTTCTAGACTAACGTTAATCGTTTATACACCACAATAAGGTTATATTCACAACTAAAGTGACCAACATATAGCCTTAGTTTCTAGGTAACGTTACTGGCTTACATTTTCATTATTTGTTACGACGTTTCGCTCAGGGGGCATAACGTTAGCTAGTTAGTAGCATGACAATAACACATAAAACCACTCAATTTTAAAAACAATTAGGTATGGACTAGGGGCTGTGTGATTAATATACTCAAATTGGATTACGTATAGTAAACTGTTACATCTGCAATAATGCTGTCTGTGTCATTTCAGCAATTACAATGACCCTTGCTACGGGAGGCGTGTTAGCCAATGCTAACGATGTTATCTTGTTATTGCTAGCAGGCCAGCTTCCAATGAATACATACATTTTATCACCTCAACGTTATTACTTACAGGGAATGGGACTTCTGCGGTGGTTTCATAAATCTTAAGTCATATTTACAATGAGTCACATGCTGTAACAAATGTTATTCCGCGAGAAAATAAAATATCGATATTGCTAGCGGCTATTCAATGTTTTGGAGCTAATTTCATTCACCAACATGGCGGCGGCGACAACCTTTTGAGTGACCCGGATGTAGTTCTGTCTCCAGGAAGTGGCAAACCCGTGAAACGAAAATACATTTTGTTGTGTTTATACCTTTGAAACTGATTAATGCAGCTATTAAATAAACAATTTGGAGTAATGTATACATGCAACAGATATTATGGAAAACTAAGGTATAACGTTACTGATTTAGCATGCAAAGTAAAACTTGAAAAAAATCCATAGTTTTAGCAATAAATATTATTTATTTTCATCACAGTGTGTAACAATTCATTTTTGGCAAATTTCACTGGCACTCATAAAAACAAGTACAAAAGACAATTTGATGAATTCTAACAAACTTTCATTTCAACAACAAAATTATGAATATGTAATTTAATAAACTAAAACTAGTAAACATTCACAAATGAACATTTTTCCATTAATCCAAGAAGCTGGGGGAAATAAACTAATGTGCACACATACACACAAAGAAACACCAGATAAACATAAGCAAAGTGGCATGCAGTTAATGTCGTTTAAAAGTACGATTGAGTACACTACCACGGACGGAGGGCAAATATCAAAATATACTTATTGCAGTCTATGATGTAAGTCCACATGACTGTAAGACAATCGTTCTGTATGAGGTCAAGACATACTTTCATTACCTTTACATCCACTACTCTGGTGGGATGAAACATGTAGTAAAAAAAACAGGCACAGTTTTAATATTAGTGCTACACATTTGGTCATCCAAAATATTCTGACTTCTGCTGGCCAGTGAACTTTTACAGTACACATAACACCAACCCTTCAAATACAGAAAACAGCTAAATAACATTTGTTTCAAATTTAAAATCAGTTATTATTTAATCTGATTTTTCTATGTGCAAAAAACAAAACAACACACTAACATATTCCGTCTGTAACAAAACAGAAAAACTCTGAACAATTTACCTGATCAAAGTATTCAAACAATCATGACAAAATCCGTCTTCTAGAACTTGTCCAAAACAGGACTTTCAGTCTTTTTGTGCATTTATGTAAAGATTACAGACTGGCTGGTGGGATAAGAGCAGATGCTCCAGTGGTCATTTCCCTTAAGACAGATCAAAGTGCATGTGTGTATTGACAGTCTAGGAGGATCCATCTACATTTAGGGATGAATGAGACAGGATAATGCAGTTGGTGTGGCCGCAGTTGTAGAGCCCATTGCTACTGCTAAGTCTGCAGAGCGGAAAGGCGTCGCTCGATACACTGCTTACCTGAGAACAGAGAGATTGAAAAATTCAGATAAGAATAAAATCTAGACAAGCCCTAGGCAAGATCACACAAGGAATCCATTCTCCTGGGGTCTGATTCTAGCGTTTTAAACTACTATTTGCTGGTTTGTGTGTCACAGTGCTGTCACATACATTTCTCTATGCTGTCGACGTCCTTCTGCGCTGTGATGATTCGGGACAGACCCTCCATCAGCAAAAGGGCTTTGTGGTAACGCTGGACTGATGCTGTGCCATAGTGGAACATCTCATCTAGGGCAGCACACTGTACCTGAATGCAGTAAGAACAGACACATTAAGATAAAGATAAAGATGCATACGGGATATATGCTGGAAAGAATCTGAATGAAGTGAATATCAACATTGCCTGCTGTGAGGTGAGCTCACCATGTGCACAGTGTGGCTGTAGATGAGCTTCTCTGCTGTGAGTCCATTGAAGCGGTCCATAAGCTTTTGTTTGTCAAGCAAGAATGTCTGCAGGCGATGGTTGAGAGTGCGACAGTATGTTACACAGCTCTTGTACAATTCAGTCAGGTTCCTTATCACTGCACAAAGGAAATATAGCATGCAAAGACATGTCATTATCCTAAAAAACACAAACAGACCCTTGTTATCACGCTTTAACCAGGAATGCCAATTCTTATTCAGTTAGACTACCTGGATGGAACAAACTGCTCTCTTTGAAGTTTTAATGCTTTCATTTTTTTAAGACCATAACACCCGGAAGGTCTTGTTCTTCCTGAAGGTCCACAAACTACAAACATTTAACAGACATCTTTCAAGTCTACAAAAGGAGAGTGCTTGTTACAAAAAAATAGAGGTCAATGGCCTCACCTTCTTTGACTGTTGCAGAGGGAAGGAGTCGGCCTTGTTTGATAGTCTCTTTAGCAGTGTGCAGTGCTGCTGATAGAAACTCTTCAGCCTTCATGTACAACACTAACTGCTCTGCATAGCTGAAATACACACAAACCAGAAACAGCAGTCATTTACAAGCACATTTGTGAAGAAAGGGAGGCATTGTACATGTTGAGAAAAAGTAGAAAGCCTCTCACCTCCATTCTCTACTCAGAAGGCTGATCTGATCCGTCACCAAACTCTGCTCTAGAAAGGAAGCATCAGGAATGCTGATGGCATCCAGCCCCGAGTCCTTAGATGAAGCCAATTCCATGACACAGTGGCCAAAAGCCAAAGTGAAACGCATCTCATTCAGTGCATCTGTGTGAGCCTGCTGTGAAGAGAACAAATACTGTGTATTCTGAAACTGTTCATGTGAAATCTGAATTTGTCTATTTAATGTTCATCTGCAAATGTCTGTAATTTACAAAATAACCTGGAGGGTTCAACTCAAAGTATCATCATAGTTTTCATCTGTACCTCCATCAGGGTTTCTTCCGGGAGCTCTGGAGGGTGAAAGACCAGACTGCTGTGCGGAGTAGCGTCCATGGCTTCAGTCTCACTGTTTCTACGGCTTCCTCCCTGGAGAAGGCGACTGTTCAGTAGCCAGGCTGAGTTAATGTAGCTGGGGGAGCCTGCAATTAAAACAAAGACAAATACAGCAGAAATAAGAGTAATGAAGAGAGCATAGGAGTAACGGATGACGTGTTTTAGGTTTTTCAAAAAGCTGGTGGCTTTTATTATTTTGTTGTTTTATTAATTAAAACACTTAAATGTAAAAAATAAAAAATCAGTGTGTGCTTGTACCTGCCCAATATTCAAATGGTTTATCTCAAATGTTACCTGGTTAAAAATGGCTCTCAGTGCTTGTGCTTTGCTTTAGATTATTTAAATTGGACATCTACACCTTACATAATTTATGGTCTTAATGAACTCTAAACTGCAGAAAGCAGTATATAATAAAAATACAACCTCACTGGATCGCTCATAAATGTACTTAAGAGACTTTCTTACAAACCTCCTTCAACACAGGCTAAAATAACGGTTTAAATGAATTCACTTAACAGTAAGTTGATTAAGTGTAGAAAGAACATCTACCTGAGAACATCCGTGGCAACGTGGTATCAGTAGGAATGCTTCCTCTGGATTGAGAACCTGTAGTGAAGATTCCAGGAGGTGGGCTGTCTGAGTACGGAGAGCCTCTATGACGACCAGTAGGTGGAGCTGTAGGAGCAAATAAGAAGAGTTTAAAAGTTCAAAGATGTCCATGTAAAATGTTGCCCAGCTGAACTGCAGCCCAGTAAACTACATGGTCATAGTGGTAGATACCTCAAAATATGTGTTGTAATTTCTGCATGTTACAAACATAGTAACACCTTTCCTTGCCTCCACAATGATGTGTGTTCTTATGTTACAATAGGGATTGATTTTATTATTCCATTAAGCCATCAATTTGCATGACTTTAAAGTGTTGTTTAACCATACATGCTTTGAAATATCTACCCTAATCTACAACAATATCGACATAGTCATAAATACTTGTAAACAAAGACAAACAGTATCAGTAGAAACCATCCGACTGGTCCTATTTGTTCCAATAGTACCTGTTATATCCATGCCTTTCTCACAGTTGAGGCTCTCGTCGCTGCCCTCCTCCAAAATGTGAGCTCCAACGGCCGCCTTCAGTAGCATGTCAGACAGCCTGCCTGTGCTCAGTGATCTGGACATCCAACACAGCCACAGACACCATTACATTATTTATCAGATGGCTTGTCTTTTGTACTGCGTAACATCTCTAGGTGCCATATGGCAGGTTTAATATGAATGCCTCAATTTGATGTGAATTAATGACATACACATCTGCAAATCATATGATTTTGCAGGTCACAATATCATATAACTGTAATTGTGATATTCATAAAATAATATCTATATTATACTGTTCTGACCTTCTGAAAGGGCCATTTTTATTGGCTGATTTCGAGCTGTTGGTCTGGGAAGCAGGAGATGGTTGAAGGGATTGAAGGTCTAGGACTGTCCTGTTTCGGTGTGGCATTCTTGATTGAACCTGTTGAAAAGCAAATGATAGTTCTGAAAACATATCTCATTGCTAGCATATACATTGTACAATCTGGTATTGTTGTATTTCAGAACAATTCTACTGTGTGAGCTGCTTGTAGATATCCTACTACAAGTATTTGCTACTGTAGAAAGTGTAACGAATTAGTCACTTTGGCTGTTGTGAGAGAGAGAAACAAAATTGCACCAGCTAATAACATGCTGTGTGAAATTGTTAAAAAAATGCACATGATGGCGTCTGGTAATATAGATGTTTGAAAGCTGACCTTGGGACTGGAGGTGTCCTGCCTGTCTGGACAGCCAGCGAGCAGTCCAGTTCTTGTGCTGAGCGGGAGAGTCTGCTCCGAGGTGATTGGAGTCATTCCCACTAGAGTACAGAGTATTGTAAAGATTGACCCATTGAATCATGAGTCAGGCAGACGGAAAGTGGGTGCGGAGAAAATCAAATGGCAACACATCATCACACAAGAACTCTGGGAATGTACTGAACATGACATATTTCAGATGGTGGAATTGTTTTTGTTAACACCTAAATGGCCCTGGTGGCCAACAACAAGTGACATTACATGGGCACATTCCCATGTAGTGTGTTAAGCTGTAGGACTGTGACCTAAAAAGGTTTCTGTGAAAGAGTTCTGCTTGAGAAAAACTCCCTAAATGGGTGAAACAAAAGTCGATTGAGATGCCTACCTAGCGGGGAGGATTGTTGTGGTCGGGCTCCTCCAGTTGCCAGCCGTGGGGAGTTGAGGATAAATCTTGGACTTGGAGTTCTACAGCCTCCAGATTGCGGAGAACGGCTGCCAGCACAGCAGAGTGTGACCCTGAAAGACGTGAGACATGGTTAGACGGAGGCAGAAAAGAATGGGTAGTACCAAGACACTGAGGTTGAAGCAGAGATAAGACAGCCGAGCGGCTGTACATGCCTGGTGGAGCCATGCAGGCCAACGGGTTGCAGGTTCTGTTCCATACGCTGGTAGTTTTGGATCTGAGATGGGACAGGAATCGGCAACGAGGGGCTGTACTTACAGCCAACAATTGCAACAGGCTTGCTGCATCGATGACAGAGGAGGCAAAGGACACAAATGAGTGCGATGTTATAAAATCAATTAAAATAACAGTGGACACGTGTTCCTAACCCATCATTTCTCATATTGCCCATAACATGAATATAAATGCTGTTGGGTTTAAGCACAACTCATCTTTAAGCCACCAAAACCTGAACCTGCCTGGCTTTCTCTTACCTAACAGGCTTGGAGGGAGAGTGTAGCAGGGGAGAGGGTGGAGGTGTCCTTCCTGCATTTCTGGGACCTCTCTCAGCCAGTAGTGGGCTTCTAAAGAGGGATATTTGTTAGCTCAATCTGCACAATGGATAACATTCATATGCAAAACATTATTAAATAAATCTATTCTGCATTTTTTCTTTATATAGATATCTGCTTCCTATACTAATTCCTGTATACTATATATGTATTCTTTCAGAAATAGTTTTATAACAATCATTTTTTTACGGAAATGGTCCATTGTGGATAAAGTGATGCACACTTTAGTCATCCACATAGTAAATTAGTGCAATGTACGAGGCAACATTTCATATTAGTCCATATAGTGAAATCATATTCTACGATAATTGCTGATTAACTGACAAGTTATTGTGCACCCCTCGGTGTGACTACTCACCCACTGTATATCAGGCAACTGTCAATGGGTGACCCAATTTCCAGCTCACATATGCACCCACCTACAAAGTAGTCAGATAAAAACAGTCAGACTCCTTGTGCTGATAATGATGATGAATAAAATAATCCAGATATATATGTAGTGATGTCTCACTTGGAAACTGGCCGTGCACCATGACATAGTCCTCTGAGTAAGATGAGGTGTTCCTACTGTCTTGATTGACTGTTTCCTTCAGGAGGAAGCCGTGGGTGTCCTGTGTAGGCGAATACTGTGCTTTGGGCTGAAGTCGGTGCATTTCTGCATCGGAATGCTAGGAGAGTGTAAAATAAATTACTGTTCAATCAAATATAACTACGATAGATTACAGGGAAACACATACACTACGAGCTTGCTGTATTTCTTTTAAAAAATACATTTACATTTCACAACTTTGACAATGGGATTTTGTTTTATAAATCCACTAAAGAGAGGTGTACACACTTGAGGGGAGGTCAGATGTGATGTGGAGGAGCTGCTACAGGAACTGACTGAGCCTGAACTGGGGAAAGAGATCACAGGAACTGGAGAGCCTGCCAAAAAAAACACAGATGTGCTTGTGTTAGGACCCCGGCTACAGCACCTTTATTGATTCTGAAGCTGTAAAGAGACGAGCAAGATACAGGCCATACATTTCTTTGTGGATGAGTTCTTCTCCAAGAAAGGATGGTGGAAAAACTCATCTGCAAATGTAAAGATTAAGATGTAAAAGATGCTTTAAAAAAAAAAAAATGTAATTATGAAAAAAGTTTCTGAATTATGAAGATAAGAGGCTCACCAAAGCCGATCCGTTCGCTGTGGTTTCTTTGCAGCAGCCCCAACAGTAAGTGTGTTAGGTTAGTAGAAGTCTCCTTTGGGATGCTGTGAAAAGAGGTAGAATGTAGAGTGTAGCCTTCATGTTTTTCATGTCTTCATGTTTGCACGATATAAGTGGTCTTAAAATAAATAATATTTAGGTATCTTGTGTGAATTTTTAAATCAACTTTGCGGCTTTAGTTCAAAACCTCAGGGCATCTTGACAGTCAGTACAGACTGTGTGTGTGTGTGTGTGTGTTTAAATCTGCAGGGAGCTATGTGGGTCAAGTGGAAAATGATAGCCGTACAGGTTAATAGCTGGCAACTTGGAGAAGGTTTTATATATAGAATGAAAACAACAAACCATGCCCCTTAATGCTGAGTCTTATCACGCGGCTTTATTGCTGCAAACGATAAGCGTGGCCCTGAGCCAAACAGACTGGAAAAGCACACCGTTAAAACAGTGCGAAAACAACTTCTCTGAACGCTTTCCAGGCATGACGGCATAAGTGTTCAAAGTGAATTTAAATAGCCAAGAGAAATAATTGTAAAGGCATTTGTCAACTGAGATTAAGACAGTATATTATAGGCAGTGTGTGAGAGTGGAGAAAGCTCCAGATGACTGGCCCCGTCAGGTGTCTGTATACGTTTCTTCCACATAAGACCTATTTTTAGTGGCGGTATGGGGTTCATTGAGTGCTAAACTGTCCGTGTGCACATTGAACATCATCCGCATACACACAGTCATTCATCTGCAAACTGAGTGCAGAGAACACAGCTGTCACTGTAATGCCTGTTTACGCCCTCGTCTTATCATCTTCCTGTGTGCATTGTGTGCGTACAGTACAGATGTGTGTTGGCGTGGGGTCGTCCACTAACCTGGGTAAGAGGGTCCTGTTGCTTTCATAAAACAAACGGAGCTCCTGCGGTGTGCTGGCCTATACATACACGCACACACACGTACACGCACACACACACACACAGACCACAAACAGAAGTTACACTTGAAATGACCCTTCCTATGCAAACACACAATATGATATGCAAATGAATGCATCTGCATCCTTACAAACAAGCATGTGAATATATAATAGTGGAACATTTGACTATTTATTTGACTGCATTACTGCAAATCTACATAAACTAGTTATGCCACAGAGCTTGTAATCCAAACATAAAGGGCAAAGTAGAATGCTTGGAGATGCCAGCTAAGTAAACACCATCAGAAGCAGCAGCAGCAGCAGCAGCAGCAGCAGCAGCAGCTAACCTCACACTGGCCCTTGGACTTATCTCAACTCACAGACCTGCATGGCAGAAATAGAAGTCAATCTTCCCTCTCATTCTCAGGGAAAATGCTTTCAAGGAAACTGCAACATAAATAACCTCAAAATGTACAAAAGGTCAAGTGTTTCTTCTTCCCCAACTGCACATATATATGGGGATGAAATGGACTTCAGACAAAGAAAGAGACAAGACATTATATGTGCGTCTATACATAAATCACAACTGAAGAAATATTCAACAGTTGTCATCTGAGCAGCCACGTGAACAGCAGAAAGTAATACCCAGAGTTGTGAAACAATATTTGCTTTAGGTTGGGGGAAATGGCTCGCAGCCATTAACACATGCCCCCCCATCTGTACACAAGGTGCTTTCCTAACAAGTAACCAAGCTGTTCCAGCATTTTCCAACTAATCACACTGGAGATCAGGGAGAGTGCCACCCAGCAGGCAGGTGGTGTTTAATGGTTGTGTTGTGCATCATGTGCTTTTCTGTGTTGTGAAAGGGATGTATCATATTTTGTGTTGATAATAACGAGTCTCTGTTTCTAGGAAGTAAAGCAAAACAATTTCATGACCATTTGTGATTATCTAAAAGGGACTTAAGTGAACATTTATAGGTGATTTTCTAAATCGACACCGAAAAAGAGGGCTGTTACAGTTTTTGTACCTGCATGTGTATGTGTACTCACGTAAAATGGAGCCTTTCCAGTCAGACACTGGTACACAATGGTACCTATGCTCCACAGATCAGCCTTGGCATCATAGTTCTGGGACATGATGACCTCAGGAGCCTGTGTCCAGACAAACACTGCTTAGAGACACGGCGAGGTTACACTCGTTGGTGCATGAAACTCATAATACTCACCATGTACATGGGTGAGCCACACAGCGTGGCTGCCATAGTGTTCGTCTGGAGATGACGTGCAAACCCGAAATCAGCTGCAGGGGGAGTAAACAAGATGTATGTTCAGTAAGAAATTAACCAACCAACACATTTCCAAAGACATACTTCTAATACTATGCTGAGTGAAGTCATTACCGATCTTAATAGAGGTATTGCCGGCGCTGGACCTGCGCCCCTCTGGGTGGCAGAGCAAGATGTTCTGAGGTTTGAGGTCTCTGTGGAGGATGTCTTTGCTCTGCAAGACCTTCATGGCCCGACCGATCTGCTGCAGGAATACGCGGATGGTGTCCTCACTCAACGTGCCCTTAGCTGAGGTTCAGAGGAATGAAATAAAAAAAAAAAAAAAAGCCGATCAAGAAGGAAGTTAGCGTGTTAATGTAAGGGTGTCATCATATTGCATGGTACCGAGATACAGGTGAAGATGACACACTGTCAGCATTTATTCCCATCATGTTGGCCCCGCTAAAGTTCTGTTCTGTCGGACTGTTGAGATGCAACTATTATAGTAATACTTGATTTCTAGGATTACCTTAGATTAAAGTGACTTCTCAAAGTCTTTATATTTGTTAAATGAGAAGCTTTAATAACGTTGTGATGCTAACAACATAAAGGCCAACTAGTAAACGTGGTTAAACGGTTATTGTAGCGCATTAGTGTCCAGCTGTTATTAGAGATTGAAAGATGAGTCAATCAATAGAACATTCACCTAAACTATCTGACTGTTTATTAATCATTAAAGTACTTTTTATGCACAAAAGTCAAATATTTACCAGCTATGTCTTTTGAAATATAAATATTTTTGGTTTGTTCTAGTCTTCTATGATATTAAACTACATACTTTGGGATTTTGGACATTTTGTCAGACAATATAAATAATTTGAATATGTCCACTTGGGTTTTGGGAAATTATAATGGGAATAGTTTATTCGGAAAATAATGAACAGGTTAATAATAATGAAAACAATTGTTCGCTGTAGCCCTTGATCTTACTTGTTCTAACATTCTCACCAGAAACTCCAACATAATGCAAGGTGAATATGCAAAAACTCTAGTCACATCAGCGTCACTGCTGTCAAACTTCGTGGAAGAGAATTTTGTTTATGAGGGGGCTTCATTTGGATATCAATGTCAGGGCCGTCTGACACGCTCACACCCCCCACTACCTTTCCAAGACATTCAGTATTTCTAGCTGCAGTGTTTTTCAGCCGGAGCACGGGGGATAAGTGAGTGGCAGATGGGTGAGGTCATGTGGGTGCTCCGTGAACCTTGCCAAGTGCGACTGACTGTTGTGCTGCAAATAGCTGGATGTGCCGCCTTGGCAGGGACACAGAGTGGGCAAGGCTTCAAAATAAGAGACGCTGGCGAGGTGAGAGAATTAGACCACCGATCCACATTTAAATAAACACCGCTGAGGTAAATTCGGCCTGAAAAAAAATCAACCACATGCACTCAGCTGCATCGTATTTTGCAGCAGGGTTTGAAACTTGAAGCGGGGACGTTTTCAGGGGGATAGTCTAGTGAGAAAAGTGTTTATATCATTCTGAGAATTCAAACGTGGTGAAATCACAAGGTGCCCTTAAGCCCAACGAACTCCAAAATAAAAGCTGGGAGTTATTTCGGCAACTCGTTTTGTACTGGCTTCTACTATTTTATCTGGGTTAAGCACTTGAGAGTATTAGTGACAATTTACCCACTGACCTGTTTGAACCGTTCTGTTCAGCTCTGCCTCCTCAAAATCCTATTATTCCTCCAAAACACTGAAAAAGCTTAGCCAAGCCTCTTAAAAGCCAAACAGAACTGCCAGTACAACAGTAAGCTGCTCCAAACATGTTTACAGATAACAAACTCGAAGTTCTATCCTCTGATGCAACAGTGAGGAGTGGTGTGAATGTCCCAATTTTTTTTTTCTTTGACTGCAGGTGAAGCAGAAAACTTTACAGTCGTGAGACATGAGCTATATTAAGCCCTGCAGGATGTAGCAAACTTACAGTGAAGGTACTCTGCCAGGTCGCCTCCATTGCAGTACTGAAAAGATGAGACAAGCCACTCTTATTAGACGCTTCTATAATGCTGCAATGTTGAGTGATTTGCATTTTCATTCCCACAGACCAGACATCATCAATTCTATCAAAACTCACCTCCATGACGAGATACACACACCCTCCCATTTCCTGTGGATAAACCAGATGAAATCATTTTATTATATTATTTTCAAAAAGCCGTAGTTACTCCAATGCAGTGTAAAAATGACAACTATATATCTCATCTATTTAATGTAGAGATATGGGGAAGTAGGACTTACTCCAACAATCAATCACTGTCTTGCCAGCTGTGCCCCAAATTACACAAGTGACACCAGCACATTTCTTAAGACTGAGTTGACTCTTTTTGGCCGGTCACCAGCAGCGCTTCTGGCAATTCTGGGTCCCCTGAACACAGCTAACCCAGGGGTCTGAAACTGTACCCCATCGTGGCCCCTGTCCAGTCCTGCCCCCCCGAATCATCATTTTAAAAAGTCACAGAGCGGTGACGTGACACGGGTGGGGGAGTAAAAAGGGTGACAAATTGAAGGTGTCAATCCACCTGATTGAAGTAATGAGTGGCAGAGCAAATTGCTTCTTCTTTTTTTTGTCTTTTACATCAAGTTAAAGCAAGAAGACTCTGTGTATTTGAGTGAAACTTAAAGTGTTTACCACTTATACTTTTGTACAAATAACACTCTGGGTATACGATGCAGTAATTATCCCTGTACCAGAAAACAAGAGAGAGCAGGTTGTGCTGAGGACAGGTACGCTCACAGTTTGCTGTCAACAAAAGGCTCCTGCAGCCTGATCTGGAAGGCATCACTTAAAGGTCTTTGCCCTTGCATGCTGGTGCGTGTCAGCTGTGAGACGCTACTTACTCACACTCCGTTTGATAAGCTATTGTTTAGCCGGCTGTACCCTGCCAACTGTCAGGAATAGTGAGAGATCAGCTCACCTCTGTCTGGTGTATGCCAGGTGTCAGTAAGGTGAGAAGAGGGAAGTTAATTGCCTGTACTTTAAAAGTTTAAGGATATTCCTTTAGTCTAAGGCATAGTGTGAAACGCAGTGAGAAATCAATATTGTTCTCATGAAGCCGCCATGCAACCAGTTTTTAATCTTTTAGAATAATTTGTTTGAAGAAAGAAATATAAACTACAGATCCACTCAGGTCATTGAGGTCGCTAGCCCCGTGAAAAACTACAACATCCGACAGCCAAATCTGCACCACGTGTGCAAGCGATGTTCAATGTTGCGGGAACATGTGGTAGCAAAGTAAACAGTATTGCAGAGGTCTGTGCTGGTGTGTGTGTGTGTGTGTGAGAGAGAGGAGAGAGGGGGAACAGAGAAGACAAACCCGTCTTTACCTGATAGTCAAGAAGTCGGACAATGTTTTCATGTTTGAGTTCCTGGAGGAGGTGGGACAAACATTTTAGTTCAAAGACGACATAGAGAGACTGACACAGAATGTGTGGCAACATCAAAAAGTCCTCTCAGTACCTTCAATATTTTGATTTCTTTACCAAGCAACGCCTGCGATTTGGCCAAGTTTTTCTTGTTGATACATTTCACAGCAACTACCCAGTCACGTTTCTTGAAAAGAAAGAAAATAGAAGTAGGATATAAATACGCCAGTCTTGCATGCATCAACAATGACAAAGATCAATTTGCCTCAGATGTACAAGTTACCTCCTTATGTCTGCCTTTGAACACAACTGCAAAGGCACCGTGACCGATCAGGTCTTTCCTGTTGAACTCAAACTTCCCAACAGTCTCCATGAATAATACAAATAAACGCGTTCAAGTATCCGAGCTGTTTCGAGAGGTTGATTTCGCAGCTGAAACAGACGTGCAGAAGTACTTCCCTCGTGCCGGTAAATCTCATTTCATTGATGGAAAATGCTGTCTTCACACGTGACGCGCTCCATGCTCGAGGAAAATATCGATGACAACATACCGAAGTTTCTGTCAACACAAAAAGTCAAAAACAACGTGCGTAAGAATGAACAACTGTACGTAAACAAAATATTAGCGACCCGCTGTTCTTATTTAACGATTCTAATGAGTCCCTGGTACTTTCTAGATCCAGTACAAGTTGAAAGCTCACGTTAGTACTGTTTGTTTTGAGACGCTGAGGTCAGATACTATCGTCTTACTCACCTTTCTAGCTATTCACAGGAGTTATTCGTATCTCACGGCGCGCATGCGCAAACAGACAGGCTGCGGTTTGAGGATGGCGCCTTCAGGGACACCACGTAAACTCGTAATTCAATGTCTTACTTTGGCCTGCTAAAGTTTATTTGTTTAAAATGCTATATCAAGAAGGAGCCATTTTCCAAAAAAAGAATGGTGTTAGCAAATAGATATACGATATGCACAGTGTGTGTGTATTCATATATATACAAATGTGAACATAATGGTGAGGGGCATGTAATGAAGATGATGCTGATTTATTGTCATACACGTTTTTTAATAAAGATAATTAGAAGCACAAACCACAGTACCATAAAACAACAATCATTAAAAGCCATACAAGCATAGAAATATTGAAATATTTAACATTAAATTTGACATGGAAAGTGAGCGCAGAGTGACTTACAGTAAATCCTGTTTTAGGAAACTTAAAGTTGGTACAGTGTAAGATCAATGACATTTTAAAATATGCCATCTCCCTCCATTCTCACAGTATTTAAGAAAAAAAGCAACCTTATTAAGTTGTAGAACATATTTCACTGTACAAAAAATGTATGAAAATGTAAAAGACAGCAATAGAAATAGCTAAAGACGCCATAAGACTTCACAGAATTGTGTCGAAAACACACAATCAGTATTCACTATTCCTCAAAAAGCATTAAATACTGCAGCTTACTAAGATGTGAGGTACTGCAAATATACTCGTTCATTTCAAGAGAAAACACACAAATAGACAGAATTTAACATGAGAACATATACCGATTGATGAGCTGTGACACTTTGCAGAAGAAATTATACAGAATCACAAAATAAATAAATACATTATATCAGAATTACCCTGCTGCTTCATCCATTGTTATCATGCAGTTGTTGTGTTGCACTGCCCCCCAACATTGGATTAAAGCTGCATGAACCTTTATGATAATGAATACTCTGAACAGCTGGTGAAATCATTATGTCTTTATTTTTAAGGCACAAATCTAATACAATTTAGGAAAATTTACTTTAAGTTTATGTAGCCTATTTGTAACCTACCATACCCTGAAAATACTTATAATCTCTAATGTTACATTTTTTGCAAGTAAATTAAAGCAGATGTAATTGCTTAATTAAAGCTTATCTGCTTTCTTGCAGAGAGTTCGATGAAAAGGTTGCTACTACTCTCATGTCTGTATGTTGAATATGCCCCCAGCAGCAGATTACTTAGTTTAGCACAAATTCTGGAAGTAGGGGAAACAGATAGTTTGCTAGTCTGGCACATAACCGTGAATCCACAATGTGTCATTTTTACACATCTGCTTTGTTATATGATGTGTTGATTATTGACAGAGGCAGGCTAGCTGTTTCCATTCTTTGTGCTAAGTTAAGCTAATCAGCTGCTGGCAGTGGCTTCATATTCACTGAACAGACATCTCTCAGCAAGAAATGAAAAAAGTGTATTTTCCAAAATGAACTATTCTGTTACATAAACTCTTGCCAATTAGTAAATCAACTGCAATATACAGAAGAGATAAGAGATAAAGAGGTTTTTATTGTCATTGTAGTGATACAACGAAATTTTGTTTGGTACCAAGGACCATGCAACAGACAATTCCAGACGCTCCACTACTCAGAGCGATGTTGCCAGACCCTGAACCGAACTCCTGGATGCTAAGACTCTCGCTGACCTCATTAGAAATCCCTGCTCTTGTTTTTGGGAACACAATATGTTTTTATGAGACAATAATAAGGCAAAGTCCTTACAGTCTGTTTGTCTTTAAAGGTGAAGCTATTATTCAGCTACACAACATCTCCTTTGGTATCACTTTCACTTGAGTGGATGAGTGTCCAATTCATTGCATAACATAGTGGGCGAATAGTCTGGCCAGTGTTTTTCATTCTACACTCGGGAGCTGCGGATTGCTCTCCTGCCACAGACAGAAATGATTCTACACGGCGGACAGGTCGATACGATTGGCCGAGTTGGTGCTTTTGTCCCATGTGTTCATCTTGGTGGGCGTCACGCCCTCCTTGTTTCCATTCATCTAGAGGATGGGAAGGACAATGTTAGACTAAGGCCATTGAGAGTTCAACAACTCATTTTTGCTTGAGCAAATCTTTAACACCAGCACTCACAATGTCTGAGTTGAATGGCTTCACATTGACGTTTCGGATGGAGCTGCTAGTAAGAGACCACACCTTGGTTTTGTGTTTGAAAGCAGCTCTGACCTACAGAAAGAAGCAAAGCCATAACAGATGATGGTGACACATGTCAGGCACAATACATCTCGTCATCCTTAATCAGAAATTGGGGTTGCAACAGAGAACATTGTCCCTTTCCTGCTAATTGGAATAAATATCGAGAATAATTGATGGTTTAGGCTGTGTACACTTTCCTAAAAGACGTGACACATCAAAACATTTAAACATACATCTAATATATTTAGCATCATACCTCAGAGTTGAGAAGACAGTGAAACAAGAAGACAAAGAACCCCTAAAGAAAAGAGGAAAAAAGGTTAACTTCAGCATCATTTTCAGAAATAGATGCAAACATTTTGGAAAAGAAAAGATCCCAAAGTGAAGAACTTACTTGTAACGAGTTGAATACAGCAAAAATATACAGGAATGGCAAAGAGTGTCTGTTGATAGCGAGAACGCCAAAGATCCAGGAAATGCCGAGTATGGGCAGGAGCACAGCCACTGCCTTTACAGTCAGCCTTGAAACAAAGCAAGAGACAACCATGTTTATATTATCTGCCTTTAACAAGAGAACAATATCAAAATAGCTTTTTTATTAACTCACTTGACTGCATTAGCATCTCCATGAACCCTGTAACTCTCTCCGCTGATTCGAGATATGATCCTTGTCACAGATATCAGAATGCCAATGTTCACCTGGAGATCAGAAAGAAGGTTATCTACATTTAACACATTCACACAGGAGGTAAGATCCCTTTGATCTTGTTTTGTTCCTCCCCAAATAGACTACACGTTTTACAGTGAATACAGATTCAATTCTTGATCAAATTACGCAGCAAATTGTGAACTGTAAAAAATGACAAATGCTAATTGATGCAAATTTCTCACCACAATGACAAACAGAGCCGGTGCCACAAAAGCCCAGATGGCTCCATTAGTCAGTGACAGCCAACAGCTGAGAAAACAAGGAGAGGGGCAGGGGTAAAAAAGAAAATCACACCGTGTTCCCTTCCAAGTAAAAATGCTCTCATGTCAATATGGAATGACGTGTAGTTACGGTTGTAGTTAACATTGAACACAGTTGATGGTTCCAATTTCTCCCACAGGTGATGTCATTCTTACGCAACCCCACCGAGTTTTGACGGAATAAAATCAATTCCACATAATTCACAGGATTTGTTCAAAGTGCAGGTCATACTTACTTGTCAACCTCGCCATAACTGTTCAGAGCTGATGTCATGGACACCACACATATCACCAATGGAGAGCCTGATAGTAAACAAAGAAACAAACACACATGTTACTTTCACTTAAGATGCCACATAGCACCTATGATGACTGGATTAACATGCTGTGGGGCCTCATTGACCCCGTATTTATCCAACTCTCTTTGCACTGTGCTTGTTCCCTGCTGCGTCAAGTACCAATCAAGTACACATTTATTTATGAATGCATCAAGTACAACTGTTCCCTCCTCATCAAACCATTTTTTTGAAATATTTTAAATCCTGCATTGTTTACATCTATATTTGCATGCTAGCAGTCTTCCTCCTTTGATACCTTTATTAAGGTATTGAGTACATTTAATTAAAGTACCACAAACATAAATTGACACACACTAAATCTGAGGCTTTGAGGCCCCTGTGGACCTGGGCCCGAGGCAGTTGCTGCCTTGTTAATCACAGCATCAAAACAAGTTACAAGCACTCTCATATTCTTGGATCAACAAGTCTGGAATCAACGGAAATATTTAAGAATCATCTCAAAACAACCCAGTAAACCTAAAAAGCTTTGAGCAAGGCCACAGACATACATTTCCGACAGATAGGCCAAATAGTGATTACAACACAATTTATATGGTATTTAACCTCCACAGTGTCATCTGAAAGTATGCCTCATTTAATTTTAGCAAACAGCCTCGGGGCCCCGTTCAATATCTCGTTATAGTGTCCAACATAGTAAACTCCCCCCATTGTCGCACCTGACGGATACACTTTTACCCCCTGTGGTGGTTTTATTTATCTGCTGTGCTGATAATTGCTAATTTCCCTGAAAATAACTTTTGGCTGGCCAAGCCCAAAGGTTTCCAGCATGCTATGCTACAGTACAAGGAAATGTTTACTTTGAAGGAGCAAATGAAAGCTAAAGTAGTCAACACCCTTTATCAAAGCTAATAGCAGCGGCAATTAATTGTAAAACGAGCATTTACTTTTTATGTATAACAGCTATACTTCTAACTGTCAGACGAGTCTCTTGTTGGCCACACTAAATGAAAAATCACTCTGGCCTGAAGAAAGAAGTAATAAAAAAGGGATAATTTTTCCACTAATGGGTTCAGCATGTGAAGGACTATGCATTCTTCAGTAGCCAAAGACAGTACGTATGTCCCAGAGTCTTTTTTATCTGTCCGTCAAACTCCAGTTCACTCAGATCAGTTGTTCTGTTGGAATGTAACTCAAAGCTGATTTATTCAACAGGGTCATAGTTACGTGCTTTTTGGTAAACAATACTTGACCAGTAAGTCAAATCATATTTACAGTAATGGCCTGGTGTGAGGGAGAGGCAGGACATTGTGTGAAATTAGGGTCAATGAAATAAGATGACATCGTGTATTCTTCAATACACAAATGAGAAAATGACACACAAGGAATAAGAAAGTAAATATGGCAGCTATATCATCGTCTGTGTTTTCCATCTAAGTGTAGTAATTTAATTCTGCGGCGCAGACCTACCCCAGCCAATGCCGTAGTAATAGAAGTGTTTGCTGCCCTCAGAGCCGAACACCTTGACCACCATACTGTAGAGGTGGAGGCCCTCCACCAGCATCCAGGCGAAGGCGCTCAGAAAGAAGAAGTGAAGCAGGACAGCCATTACCTTACAAGGCAACTGAGACAGGGGACAAAATCAGAATTTTCACCATCAAAACATTCTCTTTTCCATCATTATTTATGAATGCATTATTATCAAAAGGAGTTTTGATAATCGCTATTTAACTTTTTTATCTTTTTATCCTCTGTTCTGCTTTTCTGTTGCTCCAGTGGACTGTATTTTTTTCTTTTAGATTTATTTTCTTTCCTTCTAGGAATTTAATCATTTAGTGGTTGTTTAACTTAACCACATTTTACATTGTAGTTCACTTCATACATCATCTAAGTACCCACAAAATCTCATAATTTATTCTAATAACCTGTATATTATCAAAATAAATAACAAGACGCTAACCCCATCATTGTCATTATAATAGTCACAATTAACTTTTATCACTTATCATCAATCATTATGACCATCTTCAACAACATAATCTGTGCTGTGGACGTACCGTGCCCGGTTCGAAGCGAGAGCTGATGAGCAGCAAGATCTCAGCCACCAGGATGGCAAAGGACAGGTTAGCGTGGATGTGGTAGCGTTGGTTTCGGATGGTACTCACTGACCTGCAGAGGGACAGCATCACATCAACTTGCTGTAGTGCTCAGGTAATAACAACTTTTAGTAAACAAGTCAATGTTTTGAATACAAATGTACAGCACAGGTTGTAAAAGTGGTGGTACTCACGACAGAACAGCAAAAGTGACCAGAGTGATGGCAAGACAGAAGATGGAAATTGAACAGCCAACATAACCGATGGTTGAGAGTGCCACCCTGTGGCCAGTAGTGAGCTGTGTACAAAGACAATTCACCATCAACAACGACCAAGACAACATGTACACACATTATTATTTTGCCCTCATGGTGGGTCATTGCTACGAATGCGCATACAAATCTAGTTTAGCGTGTTTCATTCAGCCTCTATCATTAGCCAGGAAATTCAAAGGGGCCCCGTGGAGTTTATGATAATGAACACAATACTGAGTCTCATTAGTATTTATCAGGCAGGCTACTCTCCAACACTAAGCATACTGTCATAAAGCTTTAGCGTAATGGTTTAGTTCCTCCTGTCTAAGTTGGATAAAACACAGACGTTGGAAATGTTTCGAGATGAAATTATTAAATCAGATTATGTGTATTTTTTATGATACACGTTTTAACAGTTTTGCTGCTAAAGTTTTTGTAAATGTGCAGTCAAATACCTTTTTGTTATGATTATTGATTATGCAAAAACTGCATTGCCCATGAAGCTGATAGATTGTGTTTCTCCATATGCACACATTCATGACATATGGCCCCGTGCAATGATGTTGTTTTGGAGTACAGGCTATTTTGAGGGTTTGGATATTGTTATCCATTAACTGTCTTCACATGTGCCTTGTCATTAACAAGGGCTTCTCAGCCTTCCAGAAATGGGATATGTGGGATGTTCCCTTGCAGCTGAGGGATGAGGCACCCCACTAATTAGAGACTGGCTAAGGGAAAGTATAGCATCAAACAGACTTCTGCGCCTTAAATACAGCGCTGGCCCTCTTAGCTGCAATAAGAAGTCGTCTTTTCTATTTAAAAAAAGCCATCGTGGATGCTGACCACACTCCCATTGCACATATTCTTGGATAACAAAGAGTTATGTGTGACTGTGGTGACAATGTACACAGGTTTGGCATTCCAAACTGCTCTACAGATAATATTAATGTAAAATACTGTGCAGGACAGTGTTCAGAGAAGAGAAAGACTGTTATCCCAGATGTTTTAAGGAGACAGTTTTTGGAGGACGGTTCAAAGCGACGGTTTCTAGTTTCTGAAGAGAGCGTGGTCTTTGACGAATAGACCACTGACCTGTGTAGCGAACCCAAAAATACCATACTTAATCATGGTCGTCTGAAGTACTTCTGTATAAAACCACCAGTGAAACCGACATTGTGACTGTGTAGGTCTGCCTACTATTGACCTACAGGGAGGAACGATAAACTGTCCAAAGGCTAAAGTGGGGACTTCTGGTTGGTGGTATACTGTGTGGTTAACCGCTGCTTCCTGTCCAATTATGTTCCTACAAATGCACTTATTTTGTGACAAAGTCACAGAGGGAGGGACAGACGCATGAAATGAAAAGCACTGTGGTGAAAATCATCAATAGGTCTTGTTCACAGCTGGTGTCATAGTGGGAAAAGCACAGGTATTACTAATAACATTAACAATGGCTACGTTCAATTGATGTTTAAGGCACGACAGTTGGACAATAAGCTGGCATGCAACATACCAGGACCATGGATGTATAATAAGAACTGGTTAACGGACTCAAAGATTCACTTCAATGAAAATTGCTCACCAAGCACATAAGCAAACAGGTTTTCTGGCTTCCGGGTTTGCCTCTATGTTGTGCGGGCCAGTGTTTCTCTGACTGGCCCCACATGTCTGATTGTGTGCTTGGCCCATAAGACTTTTTATTACTTTTCAACGGTGTGGAAATTTTTGACAAATATAAAAATTCATAAACAAAGCAGTAATTTACACTGTTTGCAATTCTTGGCACAGCTTTTACAGACGTCTATTTTATAATGCCGGTCTATGGGGAAAATGCTTTTTGGGCCGCAGGGGATTTTATTTCAGTATCCTGAGTGTCAACTGGAAAACAGCAAGGCTGAGATGGCACCGTATCCAGCTCCCTTAATACATTAACCACCAGGGCCTTGAAACTAAAGCAGCTAAATAGAATTCAGCAATCATTTTGTTATTTACACCTGTACTTTTCCCGCTGAAGCAATCCATTGTTAATATAAATTTTTTTTTTTTAAAGAGTAGCAAAAACGTCATACCTTTAATGGCACCACTTGCATAAGTATGGCAAAGTTGGTGAGGTGGTTGCACAAACACACAGAGTACGTCATGTTTCCATCAGCGCGTACACAACCTTCATTGGACCATACTACCTCATTTGAACTGAAAAGGATGACAATTGTTCATTATTTACAGAGACTGCTGGCAAGGATCAACATGATCCATTATGGGAGGCACACAGAGAATCGTTTTGCTGAATTTACCAGGGCAGTCTGACAGGGCAATCCAATAATTCACTTTTCTTTTCATGAGCTTCAGGGCAAAGAGGAGTAAGGAGAGGATGCCTTTGAATCCAACTAAAGCATACTCCCTTTTAAAATGATTTATGCTTTCTTAATAGTGTTCTGGCTCCATTTATGTTCTCGCCATATTATATTTTTATTTATGTTGGGGCTGTTGCTCAAGATACACCAAAACTGAAACAGGAACACATGTAACACTGGCTGCTTTTGATTTGAATGAAAAAAGGGAAGTGCACTTTTTCCAAATCACTGATCATTACTTATGATTTAGAGTCTTTAAGACTTGAACAAAACATATGCAAAGAGTCGGTAATCAAGATGAAAATCTTTTTGGCTCTACATCTGAATGAATAATTGAGACATGCTGCATCTAAATCACGAACACAGACCCACCTGTAGTCCAAGAAGGCGCAGTAGAGGAATACTTTATTGCTCTGATTTAGGACTTGCTCTTGCTGTTCTTTAGTCTGAAAAAGAAAAGTTGAATGAAATGAGATTTGTAATCATCAGAGAAAAGTATGTAATAAAGGACAAACATTTGCTTTAGGATTTTACTGGCTCATTGAATTACATGCAAAAACTCATTACATGAAAATGTACTTTGATCAAGACGACTATTTGGAAGATTTATATATCTTTCCTTTATGCTCTTTGGCTTTCTTTCTATCCATATGCAGACTGATCAGATCTTGATATATTAGATAAAAGCTTAAAATATTCCATAGTTTTCTTTTGTATCTAAAGAAGAGCAAACCACTTATAAATGTTGCTTCTGATACAAAATAAAAAACCCTTAATCAGTGCTTAATATGCCAATAAAAAAGGCTAAAGAGGTCTGAGACCATACTAAATGACAGAGAAGACGCAGATCGACACTCAGCAAAGGTGATGATTACTCTGAGAGAAAATCCCTGCTGTTTTCAAGAATCTTATTTGATTATAACTCACTTTTTCCGTGTCATTCCTTAATATGAGATTTGGAGTCTCCGGAGACAGTGAGCTAATGGCTACAGTGCAAGAATGCAGTAATTGGGGCTTGGCCCTGGTTTCAGGTCAAACCACTACCCTCCTCAATCTGTCATCTGAGGAAAACAACACTTTCATTGGCAGTTGGGTGTATACTGAGAGACTGCACACCTCTTCTCATTCCCCAAGCCTTGACTCTCAGACTGAATAAGAGTATGATTAGATGGACTGTGTCTGCACTATTTCCTTCTGGAAAAAGTGAGCGAGAGAGAGTGAAACCGACACTCAGGCTGTCTGTTTCCTGGCCCATATGCTCAGTGATTCATATTACAAAGCATAGCATAAATAGATAAATAAATAATACGTTGACTTTATTGCGTAACCATATCGTTGCTCTCATTCTGTCTGTTTCGCACAGGCAGCTCTTTAGTCATCATGTATTGTGACCCTCGAGATGAATGCAATGGATGAATTTTCATGTGGCCCATTACAGCGGGCAACACAATGGGTCCACGAACCATGAGATCCGTCATCACAAGCCGGTGGTCAGCTTTGAGGAGCTGCAAAGCAACCCCGTGGGTAAATTTACTGCTCCCCCGTGGGTTTTAATAAGTCACATTGCTTGTTGGGTGTAAATGAAAGCAGATGGAAGAGAAACAAACTGTAATTGGCACACTGTAAGACTTGCTTTATAGTGTCGTGTTTGCTCTGTAACAATCGCTGAACCTTTAATGTTCCTGTGCAATGAAGGAAGACTAATTATCCACATTATAGGCACAAATATAAACCTGAGTTCATGGGAAATAATCCATCAATATCAAACCATGATATGTACTAGACACAAGTTAAAATATACATTGACTAACAGACCTTCACACATATAAGGAGCGCTCTTTGGCCATGCTTCCTCTCTAGCAACTGTCTATTTGTGGTACGTCCAGCGTGTTTCCAGTTGATATCTGAGGTGAGGTGCAGGAACCTGAAAGTCATTAGTGAGTGTTAAAATATACTTGGAGATCTGGCTGAGCTTTGTGCGCACACCGTTGTTCCCTCAGTGCCCTGAGGCCTCAGCCACCAGCCAAGACTGAAGCTGGCGCTCCAACTCTTTATTAACAACAGAAGGCCAGCAAACACCGCCTTGGAAATCACTTTGAGCCTCATAAGGAGAATAGATGTAGAGAGGAAGAAGAGAGTGAAAGCTAGTGACAGCAGAGGGATGCAGAGTGACAGCTGATAGAGGATAAGGGTCGGAGAGAGAGAGAGGCTGATAAATCATAGATCGTCAAGGTGTCTCTGGTGCTTCTGTGTCACTGTGTCTTCAATTAGAGCGGCTACAGTGCTTACATATCACAACTCACCCTCCATGGTTGATCTCCAGATTCACAAGCAAACATCAGTGGTGGAAGATGTATTTAGATACTTTACGTATATTACAGTATCAATGCAAGAATGTTTAATTGATGCGCACTACGTAAAGTAAGTCAATATCCTGCATTCATAATCATAATTATGTCAAAATATTCACTCTGCAGACAAATGGCCCCTGTGACTGATGTATTATTATCGATGCCCTTATTCGATTGTTAATAGTGATGCATCATTCCAGATGGTGACCTCACTGTTTTATATACTACAGTTACAGGTGAGTAGGTTAGTCCAGTGGTTCCCAACCTAGGGGCCAGGGCTCCTCCAAATGGTCACAAGTCTAGTCTGAGGGGTCCCCGATGATTAATGTGGTAAGACAAAATACATAATTAAGTTCTGCTACACATATTCATTTTGTCCACTTTTCTCTAATCTTTGCTTTTTAAGAGATATTGGGTGGTTTTCCATCTTTGGGATTCAAATAGTTTTTTTATGCAAAAATAAGTTTAAAGAGTGGAATTAACTCTTCGGTGGAACTGCTAACAACTCATGGACATCTGAAACTTACAAGAGGTGTAAGACCAAAAAAGGTTGGGAACCACCGGTTTAATGTTTAAAGATGTATTAAAAGAAAGTAGTAAAATATGTAGTTCAGAGTAAAAAGCACAATATCTCCCTCTTAAATGTAGTGGAGTAGAAGTACAAAGTAGCATAAAATGGATACTCAAGTAACATACAAGTATTTCCTAATTGTACTTAGGATACTGGAAAAATGCACTTCAGTTCTCTCCTTCACTGGCAGCTATAATACATGGAGTGAGTCTTGAGTGTTGACTTGGATTTCAGTTGACACAGCTGCATGGGGGTATGAGAACTGTAAATCACGATGCAACTCTTTTGGAGGGAACAAACACTCTTAGCTGACATGTGATCGTCAACATACGTATAATATGACAGTGTTTTGCATAATAGATTTTTAATGGTGCATCCTGATGACTTACTAATGGCAACACACCCCTGCCGGCCAATTACACCACCACACCAATCAGCTGTGATTGGGAACAAAGGGCCTTCAACATCAGCATGAGAGCTCCTGGCCGCCGTCTGATGCGTAAATCTCTCTAACACAAAGCACACCTCGTCCTTTCGCTGTTTTATGACTATGTTGAGCCTGTTGGATGAAACAATGAGGGATGAAAATAAACACTCTCATGCATCACAAAAGCATTTAAGTCCCAGATGACATGCAGCAACCAGCAATTTGTATAAATGCAAGCTTCTCTGTCCTCTGTGGTGTCTTTCAGACCTACCATGACTAGCAGAGCTAGAAACTCCGTTGTGGTTGAGCTAACTTCAAGAAATAGCAACAACATATGTCTCTGCAAATCCCAAGAAATTGGGCAACTCTGGGCTAATTTAAATGTTGACAGCTGATCCTCAAGCAAGGCGCAAATAAAGAAAAGATGGAGAAAGCTACACACCCATCATCCTAGTTTCAACAGTCAATTCTAAACAGACGGGATATAATACAACCAAAAGCATACACACACACACACACACACACACACACATGCGCATGTGTGCACACAAACATATATCCGTCTGAAATTACGTTTTGTTAGACTGATTAACCTTTGTATTCATTTCTATCTTAAAGTATAGTATCCTGCAATGCAACCAGTTCAAAATAATCTATTGTTAACAACACGACACATAAAAAAAAAAATCCTATTTCAGTTATAATAAATAAAATTAATCAAATTGAATGAAAGCTCTAATTGACAGAATATGGAATATTGAGCATGAAGGTTCATTCTTAACTTTCATTTGGAAACAGTTTAACATAACAGAGTCTTTAGTTTTTGGTCCATTTACTAGCTTTTTCCAGAGCTTCATATTTGCTTGAGAACATGAGATGCAGTTGAACGCTACATAAAGGGCTAGTAAGTGGACCTTGAATAAATATAAAATATTACTTGCAAAAAAAGTCCTGCTCACACCCACTCATTCCATCTAGCATTGGTACAATAATATGTAGCCACGAGAGCCAAATAATCTAAATACAGGCTTTGCTTGTGCTAAATTTAAAAAAGCAGGGAAAAAAAGGACACAACCGTGTGAATGAAAAAGTCAGCGATCTTCTCCTTTTCCTTCAAACGTTCCAAATATTTGAGAGCACAGAAAGCCACGGTGTAATTTGGACGCCACATTCTGCATTTGGTATAGATATAAATTTTTAACAGTGAAGCTGTCACCAGGACCCATAGCAGCACTAAAAACCATCAGTCACACTTTACATAATGACATAACATCAATTAAAGCTACCATCACCTTCTGTTTTTGTGGAAGTGTACCGTAGGAGAAAGGTAAAATATGAGTCAACAGAAAGGCTCAGATGTATCCAGGTTTTGACAATGGCTAAATTGTTCTGCATAACAACAGAGCGGCCATACATGAATTCTCCAAAAGCTACATTGACTGCTCTTAAATTTAGTAAGGGAAGGAAACACTTTCAAGCAGTATGTCTGGGAGAGGCACACCAAGGTATAGTGTAACATTGCTCAGTCCAGCAGGCTCAAAAAGACCAACCACAGCTCAAAACTTCACCTGGAGTTTTTTACCGACTTTTAAGGTCAATACATAAAAGCATCACACTGACACAACCTGCGGCTCTGATGGAGTACAGATCTCTGCGTTGTTATAACAGGGTTTTTCGGTCAGAGGTCAGACTTAAGCTGATCCACATACAGCATGTGGAGTAACAATCTGAGTCCATGCAGTAAAACACAACTGGCCTTGAGTGAGATCATGCCTTCAGGGGAAATGTAATAAGACATGCAGCTGTGGTCTCAGCTCAGTCTCTGAGGTAGACACTGAAAACAACGAGATGTGTTGATAGGTATGCAGGGTGTGAGGAAAACTGGAGACAATTAGAAACCCCAAAAATGACAGTTGTTTTTGATAGGGTGAGCGTGACGAATCACAGAAATACTGCAATGTGGCCATTTTTGTTCAAAACAACAAATATGACTTTTTGAAGTGAACTCACATTACAACGAGAAAGGTTCTCCATGCATGAATGTATATGTTCCCACGGGCTATGAGGCCACTGGTATACCTCTCTGGTTTCTGGCTTGTTTATAGAACATGTTTGCATTCATAAGTTGAGGGCTGCATATTGAGCCTTTGCAGAGAAGTTTCAAAGGGGGAAATACATGAGATCAAATAAGGTTTAATACGATTTTTAGTTGATGACGTTAGGTGATATATTTCAAATCCTGGGGTTGTACAGCGCCCTTTGTAAACCTGTCAAAAAAACTCAGCATAAAAACTTGTAGAAAACATTTTTGTAGAACATTTTTCAAAATAAAATTCAAGCACAAATTATATCAGGTTACGCAAAGAAAAAAAAAGAAGCTGAATTTAAATTCAATAAATTTCTTGCTAAAACCAACACTTGCCCATTATGAGACAATAAGCTTCCTAGCTACTGTAGCTAGCAGTAGGTCTGATGGTGATGACTGAAAGTCCATAAACAAAGATGGAAAAGCGTCCTGCACACACAATCCATGATCCCAATAATCACAATTTTAGTTTATAAAGGTTTAACGTCTCCCAACAGCCCGCAATCAGATACAAAATTATTTCATAACCACCATTACTGCTTATGGCTAAGACTTTTTAATACCTTCTAAGACATTTTTATAAAGGGAACTCAATTTAGTGTTTTTTAAGACTTTTAAAGACTCGCAGGTACCCTGCAAAAACAGTTATTTTGTCTTTGTATAACCTTGTTATTAATATAATTTTCAAGAGTTTCATCTTGACATTCTCAAACCTTTCAAACTACAAATCTTTCAACGCATTCATAAAACCCAAATGTACATGATTTAGAACCACAGGTTTTGAAATGATTTGTTAACATTATTTGAGGCCATAGAGAGAATCATATAAACAGAATCAGAACCCTTTCTACTTTTCTCTGAGCTCAAGCTCTGCTCTGTTCAGCACTACCAAGAGGAGGTGGTCGCGAGGTTTGAGTGGTTATGGAAAGGGGGTGCTGAATGGGAGGGGCCGTAAAGAGAGACTCTAAATCTTTTGGCAAGGGAGGAATAGCAATAGCCAGACCTCCATCTGTGATTGATCAGCATGTTGGCTCACACAGCTTGGTTTGCATGCGTGTTGGTGTATGGATGGGTGTGGGTCGTTAGGAGAGAGCGAGAGACGGAGGAGAGTTTTTGACTACAAGGTTTAAGCTGGGCGTGTTTTAGGAGTTATAAAAAGACTGGCAATAAAGGGGCACTTATTATTGTTTCAGAAAGAACTAATACCAGCATTGGCCTACACAATTAACAGCATTGGTATCAGAAAGTGTGAGATAACCTTTGCACATTTATTTTCAAAGTTGCTGAACAATTGATCCACCAGCTCCAACAAGTCTAGACATCTTTGTAAATACAAGCCACCCAGTATCCCTTTCTGCCCCTGACCAGTCTTTACTCACTTCCCACCAAACTCTGCTTCACGTTCTTTAAATCATGGATGGAAACAGCTTAATGGACGACTGAGTCACGGTTACGTGTCCAGTCACTTGGTAAATATTTGAGTAATGGGTAAAGAGTAATGTTCTTCATTTTGAGTGTGTGTAGAAAATAAGTTGTTGTTTGAGCAAAAGTTTTGGGAAACACTCTTATTTGCTTTCTGGAAGAGAGTTAGATGAAAAGATTGATACTACTCTCACCACTGTCTCTTAAATATAAGCCTACAGCTAGCAGTCAGTTATCTTATAAAGGAGAATTGAAGGACAGACAGAGGCCACCTGTGCTGCCGCCCGGTTCCATCCTTTTGCCTTGGCCCTTCTTAAGAAGCCGCCAACCTAACACATTGCTTTATAAGCTCATAAAGTCAGGCCCGCTTGTTTTTTAAATCCTCAGTTTTTACCCTATCAATCCACTTTGCTCATGAAATCAATCTTTCCATTCATTCCCTTCATACCATCAGCGTGATGCTTTGACAGAAGATGAGGACAGAGAGGAGGCGTCGTCCTTTTGTATTAATGTTTAACTACTCACCCACGATGCCGCCCACCCTCCCTTTTCTCCCCTTCGTCTCTCCTTAGGCTCTCTCAAACTGAACCTGAGTCAGACAGCAGTGATAAATCACCGATGGAGCCAGGGTCCAATCAACACCACAGCCAAATGGCGTGTGAAAGTATGTGGGCCTCCTGCAGCCTTGATAACACCTTGTCTGGGTATCAAACCCGCTCTGTGCCACATAACGTGCGATGGCTGCACCTCGGCTCTGACTGAGTCAGCTGGGAATGGCATGACCTCAGCGGGCTGTTTCAGTGTGCTCAGAGGGCATCAATCAGGACTGCAAGGTCAGTCTGACACCAACCACATGGCTTTGACCTTCTGTGAGCGGTACCTGCCCCGACACAAGGCTCTTCACAAGTCTGTGACTCCATCAATCCACGGTACAATACATTTTATCATGGCAGGTGTCAAATAGAGAAAATGGATGACATTTGGGTCTGAGCCATGAAAGTAGGTGCCTGTTTGTACAGAACAAGCGATGGCACCTAGGACTTGTTGTTACCATAACAGCACGAGAAGACAGATGAGGAGGATGACACGTTTCAGCTTCAGACACACTCAGTTCCCCCGCTAAGTTTTAATGAAGTCACTGGCTGTTTGTCTACTTTCTGGGGATAAAAAAAGAGGTCAGTTGCAAATCACTTACTCTCGGCCACTGAACTGGTGCCATGAGAGGACATCTTCAAGGTTTAACTTTAACACAGTAAAGAGCGACATAAACAATGACGTGAAAGGTCGGCCTCATACTGTGTGAGCCGCCCTCCCTGCCTCCAAGCTAGGGAGGTGATAAGTATCCACCTGCTGCCAAAGACATTAAAACTCCAAAAATAGTTGTATTTTGACTAAATCCGTCTGTGCAGCAACGCAGTTACAGCAAAACAGCCCTTTTTCTGAGCGCAACCACAGCCAGAAGTGCTCTGTGCCAAATTACGATGCAGCTCCTACATAAAAATCTTCGTCTAAACTATGCAGCCTAAATTAAATTGAAATATGCTGGCATGTTGCATTCCAATCAGTATGTGTCGTATTAGTAATAAGTATAACAGCTTATTCGGAATGGGATAGAGGGGAAAGAATGTAAGAAACCTGATTTATCCTTACATCAGAGGAAAAGGCAATCCAACTAAAATAGAAACACCTTGACTCAACAGACAGCAGAGCTGTTGAGCATCTCCAGCACTACCATAACAAAGGAGATTATAAGCCTTCTCCCATGGTGTCTGCTAAAAAAAACACAGTAATCATTATCACAGGAACCAAGCCAGATGATTGCAGCATAAACATTTATTTCACTAGGGAAAATGAAGGCAAACAAAACAATACTACCATGGTTTCATGAAGCTGCACGGCTTTCATTTGTGCTCTTATGAGTGAGGAGAGAAAAAAAAGGTATTGGTAATTTACTTCAATAGAAAGTGATTCTTGTAGGACTTATAAATTAAACAGAACCATATTGTTGTGGGGTTTAGTCAACTGCCTCATTAATGCTATTGTATGATAGTATAATATGCTATCAACATAATTCATTTAGATGAAAAGAATGGCTTCAATAATCCTGTTAATGTGCAAAAAATAAAAAAATATATAAATATACATGGCTGTGAGGAACACTGCCACGTTTCTGACTTTACAGGGAAGCAAGCTAATTCAATACACATTTTTAATTTTCATTATGAGTTTCAACTGCATTTCCAATGGAAATATGGCCCAGCTCCTGCCATAAAGCATGAAAAGAAAAAATATGCTGTTCATAAAAGAAAGTTATTGTTCCATTCAAAGTGCCCTAAGTCTACAGTTCAAATGTACATAATCAGCTTGCTTTCTGGAGGCCACATGCTTCGTGAGGCAGGCTAATGAAAACCAAAATAGGCTTCATTCTTTGTGCTGCTGGATGCCCAGCTGCACAAGCCTCGATTAGTGATAGATAATCATCTTCTTACATAAGAGAACGCCAAAAATAGAGCTGATAGATTTCATATGGGGGGGATCCAGCTACTGTAGCCTCAGGCAAACCAGGGCCGTCTTTCCTCTGATAAGGTGGGTGTCCCACACTCAACAACTGCACCAGCCAACTAGTAAAGCACTCAATTTCCCCAGTATGACTGACTCATACAGAAAGTAAATAAAGACATGAGCCAAAGATGAAGAAACTGGGACATCGTATCGGTTGATTCTTACCAGGATGTGGGTGAGGACAATCTTGATGACTGGCGCTCCAGAGAGGTTCACTGACAAGGCCGGTGAAGGCTCCACTTTCAGAGAGATCAGACAGCTTGCTACTTGGATCTTGTAATCCTTAAAATCAGCTGCTGCATTAATCCTAAGAGACAAAAAAAGAGGGAAGAGACTCAGAGAATGTAAGAAAAGAAAGGCAGCGTGACAGGAACAAACAGGGGCATAAATGAGATTCAAAGTTACAAATAATAAAGAAAGAGACAGAAAAAAAGAAGATCAACAGAGACATAATCAAATACAGGCAGATATGTAAAAAACAACACTGTAATCTGGTACTCATATTAACACATAGCTGTTACACACCAACCCAGAGCACTAACATTTAAGTGGGACTTCGATCATCCGACTATATAATTAATCACACTGACAAGCAGTGGCATTGCATCAATAGTTTTTCAAGGCAATCTGATATGTGACATTGGGATAATACAAGCGTCACCTCTCTATCGTGATACAGAGAAGACATTCTCACCCGCAGAGAAGTCGGGCAGTGGTAGAGCCATGTTAAAAACGATCAGTCGAACTGTCACAAATTTTACATTTTGTACTTGAACTTCTATGAAATATAAAGTGGGAAAAACAGGTTGCTTAAACGCTGTTATGTCAGGTTTGGTAAAAAAAATTGCAGCATGAGTGGAACAAGCTGGGCCAGCGATGAGACAATAACAGAGGGGGATATGCAGAGCTAATAGCAGGGTGTATCAGTCAGAAGGTTGAGTGGTGAGATGAGAGATAGGCGAGAGGACAGATAAGGCCCTGGCCCCAGGCATCAGTCATTCTGTGTTTCAGGAAGCAGGGGCGCCTTAGTGCCAGTGGACCTGATTCCCCACACAGGAAGTACAAAGAGAGAAGCCGGAACTTTTTTGTTGTTGAATGGCTTCAACAATTTAGTTTAGAATATATTTTCGGAGGCAAAGCCCTGGCCGAAGCTAAAGTTGAATGATTGACTTTTCACATTGGGTGTTGTCCCGTTCTCTTACTTGGTCTTGACAGGGCTGATCTCTTTGTAGTAGTTGTGCATGTTGTGGTAGAAGAGGCCAACGATGGTGGTTTGAGCTGAAGAAAAGAAGACAACATACAGTAGTTGAACGGCTTGGGCGGTGGGCTGGGAATGTAATGCAGTGCCGCTAAAATGCTCACAAAGAAGGGAAGTTAATTAGCGCTGCCTTGCCGCCGCACGCTGGCACCGGCAGGCTAATAGGACGACCTTATGCTCGCACAAGGGTGAAAGATAGAGGGCCGCAAAACCCGTGGATGCTGGGAAATCTTATGAAACATCTACATGACTTCACTAGGAGAGCAGGAGGTCTGGTCCCCCTCCTCTAATCAGATCTATCATCCAGCTCGGTCCCACCTCAATACTGCAAGATAAACAATGAAATCGGAGGAAATCCTTAATGATTCTGTTCCTCCTTTCAAAGGCCCTCTACCCGGGCCCCGTTGATTTTTTAACCTTCCACAAAATTATTTCGACAGAATGCCCCCCGGCAAGTTCCCAAGAGATCTTAAGGTGGCCAGTTTGCTTGTACAACTCTCTCTCTTAAGGAGGAGAGCGCAAAAGGAAAAATATAATAAAGTATCCAAACACACCAATGTGTGGCATGCTTTCCACTTAATTGGGTTATAAAACCTCCCCTCAAGTATTTCATACAGCCAGGTATCCAGAGCTATGAGTTAATTTGGTACTGGCTGTAATGTGTCAAGCAATAACACATATTCAATTTCTGATAACAGTCCTTTAATGAGTTATTAAAACGGTTTATTCCAGTGATTATATGGCAACACAGTACATGTAGCGGCCAGGTGGAGTCAAGGGAATCTGACCTGTACACAAACTCAAACAAGCAGAGTTTAATGCCCACCGTAATTACTGCTCTCCCTCACTCCACTATGTAAGTCCATTCTTTTTAATGACAGAGGAAAGTGGAGAGAAAGTGCTCTCTCTTTCATTCTTCCTGTTTTGAATAAAAGGGTAACTGCCAACATTAAAGTCATAGTTGGATTTCTACGGTGCACCATAAAGTCACACAAAAGCTCTCATGGAACTCCTGTCCTACACTGTATGCGATGTTAGCAGTCTTAAATCTTAGCATAATAAATTACTGGCAAATAACAAGAGCCTCCAAGCTGGACAATTTTCTCTTGGCACATTCAGACCACAATTAATGTGCTGTATTCACACTCAAGAGGAGCTACTACTTTTTATACAGAGAATCCTCAGGCTAGGACACGTCCGCCTTGTACATCACTCAGGACATGTCGCTGAACATCTGTAGTACTATAATAGTTGCACTTACACTGCATGGCGAAAGCCTCTCCAGGCACCGAGATGTAACTCTTGCCCTGTGTGGGGAAGCGGTAATGTGGCAGGTTGTAGTTTTGTAGGAATTTCATCAGAGAGTAGTCTGTGGGGGTCAGAGGTTAGAAAAAGCAAAAACTGTTTAAAAAAAAACAGACATTGAGGCAAGCATCGAGGCCCATCTGTTTCATCATTGGGTGGATCAAAGCTGTGAAGCCACCCTTGGGAGAAAGACACAAGCAAGCTTAGTGGCAAACTAAATATTATGCAAAAACAAAAAAAAGACCTATACCCGTGAGAGGGAAAGTGGAGGGGTTTGAGATCTGCTTTTCTGACCCGCATATGTCCTCTGATTAAGAAAACTAATGATGTCAGCTTGGCGCTCCATGTCCTTCTACCCTAACACACAAACTACAAACAATGAGTCACCTTATGGAGAGCTGACAGCATACTGACCTGCAACAGAAGATGTTCCAGCAAGTGAAATGAGGGAGTTCGGGCTGGGCTCCAGGTTAGTCACCATGTGTTCCATCACTCTGTCCACGGTCTCGATCAGACCGCTGACCACAGGGATGGACTGCTGCTCAACAATGACCACACAGAGAAATGTTCACAATCAATACACAGTTGCTAACCTGGTGTAGAGATTTCTTTATAAAATGTAACTTCTCTTCACAGGTTCTATTTACAAATATAAAATACGTCAAGTCAAAAGGGTACACAAAGGACAATTTGCTTTTCATGGAGAGTGTGTATTCTGTGGCTATGGAGGGAGCTTTCCAAAGTCTAAGAAAATAATTGTGATCATGGAAACTCTGCCAGAAAGTCTGTGCTACAAATCAAGGAGAAATATGTCGACATTACCAGATAGAAAGGAACAATGAACTGATGCTATTGTTTGCGTTATGGCAAAAGCAGAATCCAGTGTTTTTAGCAGGCGTGTAGAAGTGAAAACTTGATTTATTACCTCAGTAAACATTGTAAACATGAGTTTATGGTCTCAATCTCTAGTTTCAAGTCTTCTTCAATACAGCATGATGTTCATTTAGTAAATCATGGCCCCATTTAGCGGCCAATGTGGCTACACATGACAATTAGGGGATAATCCTTAATGCTAAGATACTTTCTAGCATTTCGCATTATAGCTAATAGTACATTTGTGCTATCTTGAATCTAATTCAATTGAATTCCAAAAGGTACAAAACAATTGAGCGCAGCATACACAGCCATACGACGTAGATTAAAAAAGTCATACAAATCTTGATACAGAGAGACATATTTCGAACACTCAGCATGAATTTGATTAGAGACGGTAATCACAAGGGGCTTGACTGAACACTGGATCTGATGTCCAAGTTTTTGACTTGTCATACGTGAACATCTGTTTCAGCTTGCTCCTACTAAAACAAGCATGCTTGTTCTGAGAAGTCAATGTGCTGAAACCACACGTTTGCTCAAAATGCCTTTCTTCTGTTTGTATATAGGAGTCTGGAGATTATGCTGGGATGAGTGTACAGTTAAGGAGGCTGCTCCAAATTTACATTCAAAGCATTGTGTTGTAGGGCAGTTTATAGTCAGCAGTGCTGTCTTTTGCAATTTGCACCAGTGAAGGCTACATACTGTAATCCTGTGTGGGTAAACTGCCAGGTACTGTTATTGCCGCTGGCCCCATTTGTGCCAAAATATGCAGTGTTAAAATCTCAAACTCATGGATCCCTTCAGTGCGTTGGATTAAAGTATTCACCAAATTGCATATGTTACATTATCTCATTGTTAAACATTGCACAACAACAGTGTGAACTCATTTACCTCTGGCAGCCCTGGAGAGGACAGCACTTCTTCCACACTTTTGAGAAAAGCCTGGATGGAAGAAAATGGACATCACGGAACTGTTGCATCATATGCACATGGGTGGGCATTGTGTCTCTGTGTGAACTGGTTTTGCAAGTGTAATGTGTGTGTGTGTGTGTGTGTGTGTGTGTGTGTGTGTGTGCGCGTGTGTTGGACTGTGCTCCAAGACCTGTGTGAGGTTGTTGGCAGTGTTGTGAGGAATGGTCCTATTGGGCAGCGCCTTAAGGAAGCCCAACACCGGCAAGGACTCCGGATCCTGGGAGCTCTGGACCTCCTCTCGCTGGCCGCTGACGGCAGGATTACTCACTTCAGGGGCGCCCTTGGGAGACAACACATCAGGCATCAAATGAAGTTTACAATCAGGAGGTGGTTTCCGAAGGAGCACCCATTTCCAACATACACAGGATGTTAAGTGACTGGGTTCGGGAAATTCTCTTTGGACAAGTGATTCAGTGTTGCTCTTTTTCAGCCTAGTGCCCTACAGGGAGCCATTTTGTGCGTACTGTTGAGCAGCTGTCTCTACTTTCTTTATCCGTTTTCTGCCTCCAGAGCCCTTTAATAAACAGGACGGATCTGTTCACATGTGCTCTCGATATCCTTTTTTTCCAGCTCCTCTATCTTCAAAAGGAAAGAACAGCTCAATAAGAAATAAACTGTTGTCAATGTCCCCAAAACTGTATGCAAATTGTTCATATACCATTTCTATGTTGCTGCTATATTTGTGAACAAATGATTCATAGATGTAGTTTATTCAATTACATTTAGGTTATTATATCTTCCAAAGTTAGAGTTGACAAACTTACAGCTGTTGGTGCAGTTGAAGTGACTTCTTTGGAGACTCTGGGTGTTGTGGCAGAAATCATGGCCTGGCCTACAAAAAGAAACACAACAAAGGGCTATATTACAATGTGTAAGGAACCACACTGGTGACATGTACACATTGTGTTCAATTTTATAGTTTGGATATCCCCATTTTAGAAGCATTTTTGTTATTCGATCCTAAACTTGCGAAGCTGCTGTAATGTAGCTGGGTTTTATCAGTTTTATGAGGCTGGACCGCACCCAGTCATGAAGATAAAGACAGATTACAACCTCCACAACACTGGGATAATCAAACACATAATACTCTGCCACTAGCTTCTGTACAAGGCTAAGATACATTTTATGTCTTTGTTGTCGTTTAATAAAAACAGCACTAACTAGCTCCCAGAAAACGACCATATATGGACGTACATTAGAGGTATAAGTGTGAACCATTCCTGCTCTTCTTTGGTTCAATGCAACATTTTATAGGAGTGCGCTGCAGAAGTAAAAATATTTTTCTGTAACCATAACAGTTGGGCTCTTTGTGTCTGGTAATGGTCTCTGGAATATATTGCTTTTGGTAACTACTTCGGAGAATAAATTCCGGCAGCGTGCACTTTATGCTTCACATGTTGTGAGCAGTTGAAGCTTTAACGGTGCAAAGTAATACTTTTCATATACTTTAACCGTCTTTAACCGTCCCTGATATGCTTCACACGCAACAAAATAAGATGCTGCCTACTAGCTAAAAAAGGGCATTTCATCAGGTTTTGACCATTTGTCAGACTATCGTGAAATGTATTAATATGTATTATCACACAGCATAATTATTTTATTTATAAGTTCTCGTAAATGTCAACATGGTTTGTCACTCTGCAGACCAAACGAGGTTAACAGCGAGAGAACAAAAACAGTCAAGAGTCTTGAATTTTTTGTCCTCCTAGCGTGTCCCACCTGTCATATTAAATCATAATGATCTGCCCCCTGCGACCCAACACGCCTCTGCACTCTTCTAAATACTTATAAGGCAGAACTATGTGAGCCAAGTCACTTATATGGCAGATGGTCATGATAATGTTTTCGGCAAGAAGAGCTATTTGACAGGGAGCGGGGGTATATTTGTGGGGGGTATACTTTTCTAGTTGCGCGTGATGTCCTACCTGTGGCTGCACTGTAGTAGAGGAAGATCTCGTAAGGAGAAAGGGCCCTTTCCCAGATGACAAACTCATCGAAGGCGCCGGTTACGTAGTGACCATACGCCCTGTTGTTGCCAGTTCCAATGACAAGGTCAGGATAGGGATCACCATAGTTCTCCGAGACGCTGCCAGCTGTATCACCAGCGGTGAAGGTCCCGTTGATGTAGACCTTCAGACCATCCTTTTTCGTCCATGCGAAGAGAATGTGGGTCCAGTAAGGCCCTGCAAAAGGAAGCATACTACTCAAACAGCATGTATGATTTGTATAGAATTGCACTGCAAATGTTCAGGCAATGGAAAAGAGGGTGATTAGAGCAAAAGAAAGAGAATGATTTGAGAATCTGGTAGACCGTTACCACTCTAACTCTTTTAGGGTGGTTACTTGTAGGGTGTTAGCATGCTAATGTTTGCCGAATAACACATAACACAAAGTACAACTGAGTCTGATCAGAATGTCATTTGTTTTGCAGATTCATGTAAGTTATTACAATTCATTGAGAAGGAAGCTAACGTTAACTGACAACAATGCTAATTGCTAATCAAAATAATTGCCGATTAAGTTAACTTCCTGATGATCTAATGAATTGGTTTGAGCTCAAAACATTTTATTTGTCTCTGTAATATCATGACAGAGAGTAAATACTGTGTACCCACAAGAACTCGAGGTCAGGTCTGTTTCGGTCCTGCAAGCTCTCTCCAGTCAATTTTACACTACAAAGAACTTACTTCCCCCTTGATTCTCTGAAGTAAATTGACAATGAGGAGAGTCCCATTAGGCAACACATCTGAAAACACTTCCACTAGCAGAGCAAAACGCATCTCAGTTGCGGTTAGAATATAAACCATGTGTGCAAAGACCCATTTACATGTTTTAACCCTCTTTTTCTCTTTTTTTATGCAGAGGGATCTATAATGTTACATTCTCAGCTTTCAGTGAAAACTATATTTGGTCCCAGTGCACCTCCAGGTTTAATCTATCACCCTCAAAGCTTTTACTCACACTTAAGAGAGGACTGCCAGATGACATGACACACATATGAGACCCAGATGACTTTCGATCCTCTGTAACCGAACATTCAAATCTAAATTGAGTTACGACACACGTGCGACCTTGAGTAACTACAGCAAAAACAAAGATGACAGAAGACATTTGAGAACAAAATACTGGCTCTAAAAGTTTCAAATAATGTTAACCCTGGTGTTTTCTTCTTCTTCCATTTTGTCAAAACAGTTTCAGCTCATTTAAATCCGATTTTTATTTTCAGAATTGAATTCAAAGTATTGGTCACACTCTTATAATGTTTCAAATTTCATCTAAGTCAATCACCAAATATTCTTGTAGCCTATTTAAGAAGGAAATGACCGCATCTCATTAAACGTCCATAATAATTGTATGTTTTGTGATACAGCAAAAGATTTATAAAATATATCCTTGACTTGCCAAATCAACTGTCTGCGGTTACATCTGGTTTCAGTTAACCGAACCATGAATGCAATTACATAACAATTTATGGTTGAAGACAAAAACATATATATTTCCAAAACCAAAATACATTCCTCATGGGTGCCGATGGGGAATAAAGTAACTGAAAGAACACTGTGATACAAAGGCAAATTCATCCGCAGTACCTGGGACTCTGATGTTGGCCTTCCATCTATGGTTGTTGCCTCTAGTGTAAAACTCAACATATCCTCCAAAGGGATTGGTGAAGATAGAGAAGCCATTGGAGATAACTTTCCCTCCAGAGGCTACAGCAAAACGGGACTCTGACTCGTGGTTTTTCCAAAAAAAGGAGAAGGTAATCCCTAGAGAATGATAGAGAGATGAAAAATCACCTGCAGCCATCAATACAAGAGACTCAAATGGTTTGAAAGTAATTCGAGTTTTGCCAAATTATCATATGCATAAGCTATAGTGCACTCACCCTCAGGACCACACCATGTAGGGTCGCTAATACAAGAGTTCTGGTACTTTCCAAAGTGAAGAAAGGTACCGCCATTATCTCCATTTAGAAAGATGCCTTTGTTGACCATTCCCTCAACAATATCTGCAGCAAAGTACAAATCAAGGGTATCATTTCGCTTGAAAATGCAGTGTCTGTTAGCCAGGGGGTCTATAGGGTGTCTACTCAAGTGCCAAAATATTCCAAATCTTCAACAAATCAAATTACCAAAAGTCCCTTTAACATTTAACTTCATTGTTTATGCTACTGATGAACATGAAAGTTGTACAGCCTTCTTGGTATCTCATAAAATAATACAAAGGCATTAAACAAGTGGCTTGGATGCTAATAAAAGCTAATTAACAATAACAAATAATGAAAAGGCTCAGAATTCTTTCTTTGTGCTGAATGGACAAAAAGACAACAAGAACAAACTAACGGCTCAACCACATGTAGACACAGAGAGGACAACAGGGAGCGGCAGGTGATGCACAAATGAATTTCAGTGAGCGGAAAGTGATTGATCCTCACCTACTGTTGCAGAAATGTTAGTGTAGGCAGAGTCATTGGTATACACATAGGAAGAGTTATGGGAGGAAGGTAGCACAGTGTGGTTGTGGATTCTGAGAGCTGGACAAAGACAACGGAGAAAAACAGTGATTCACATATAGACACATAACAGAGGACACAAGAGAACAGTGAGAGGAAGACAACAGGAGGAACGTGGTGTGCAGGTATGAGACAGAGTGATGCTGAGCTGACTGCTCAGTGGCAGCGCTCAAAGAGTTTCAGCTCTTTTCCTCTTCACTTGAGGATTCCTCCTGAACTCAGAGTGACTCCACATCATACTCAAGTCTATACCTGATCCCTCTTCAACTTTAACATTTTCACAAAAACTTGCACTGACTTATGGAGGGACAACGAGGCTGCAAAATCTAATAATGCAGAATAATGATCTATTCCATTTCTTTAGTTATTTTTCAGACATTTACCATATGATAGAATACTGCATGTAAAGCATTGCAGAATTTTAAATCACAGTTACATCACACACCAGATATTCTGTTCTACAATTTCACTGATAAATCTGACCTACAATATAAACACTCTGAAAACAGCAGCACATTTAAAAAGTACGATGGCTGTGGCTGGAAGGTGGGTGGTGAAAAAAAAAGCTTGAGACCATGCAGAGAGCAAGACATTTAGGTGGTGCATTCCCATGAGTATAGACAGGTCTGTTTATGTATGCACATACTTATGTTACTTCCATTAACATAACCTGGTCTGTTTCCAATCTGGTCCCACAGTTCATGGATTCCATCCACAGCGTCGAGAGGCCAATAATGTGAGGCGGAGGCCAACACCTGCAGGCCTGAACGGAGAGTTAACGGGTAAACAAGCATCCAGAAAGGGCTTTCCCCTGCAATCAAGCTCTGTCCCATTACTCAAATACGTATACATTTTCCTGGCACTTCGTTTTGGATTTTGGGGGGATTAAAAGATTGATAATAATGAATCCAACAGCTGTAAAAGTTATGCAAACTATTCTGATTAATGAGTAGGGCAGTGAACAAATCAACAACATTCTCTGGTTTGGTGAGCTTTTACAATTCACATTGTTTTTCTGATCCCACAGATGTTAATAATGTCATCTTATTTAAATTTGGCAGTTTAAAACAGCATAGAAAAATGAAAGCAATCACACCACCACCCATACAAAATCCATTACTACCTGGATGCTTTGCAGGTTGTACCACTTGAGCATAAACCTGTGAAGAAATCAAATGTATCTACTGTATAAAGACGCCATACAAGACATAATATAACAGGATGAAGTCAAAATGTGTTGTGTGTGTATGAGCTTACCTTAACACAGGAGACAAAAGCTGTAAGAAGGTGAATTCGCAAAGAAAATTCCATATCTTTTGTAAAATGTACCATATAATCTTTTATAAAACAGCAGTTAAATCCCCAAATAAAGATGAATCCAGGAGAAGTCACTCATTATTCCAAAATATAAAAACTTTTGATCAGTCCAGTTTCCAAACTTAGAAATATAGATAAATAATAATAACAGTACTCGAACAAAACAAAAAGGAATCAGTTTAGTGTCCTGGCATGAGGCAGAAAAACTTCAGAAGTTTCCCTTCTCATGATAAAAATCCGAACACCAACTTCCATGCAGAAAACTGTAATCCGTGATCGTGATTCCTAAAGTGAACTGGTACTTGTTTCTTTGAGTTTCTGTGGCTGCATCTGGAAATGGCAAGGAGCAGAGAAGCTCCGTACTGGCTTGTTGGACTGAACGTGGGAATTGCAAAGCGTGATGTCATTTTTGGACCTTCTGAGGAGGGGCGTTGGAACTGTGCGTAAATGGCATTTCACTTGTGCGTAATTGGATATTGCGCAGGGAATGAATGAGATCAAGATCGGAACTGTGAGATCTGAAATGCTGCTGAGATAAAAGATGCGCATTAATATGTGCACTCATGAGTAGTTTCGATTATTGGGGATTACGGGACAACACCCCGGATTTATGAGAGCAGCAGGGACGCTGTTTCTGGAAGGCAGGCAGACCCAGAGATCACTTGAGTCGCACAGATGTAGTATCTGCAGCATAAATTGTTACAATACATCAATATAATATAATGTTTATGAGTGACCTGGTGGGTTTAGTTAGCCTTCTTAATTACGTTTACTTTTTACTAAATAATCTTTTTTCTTTACTAAATTATGTTATTTTCTTTCACTAAATAATCTTAAGAATGTATCAAAGACGAGGGTCACATCTGGTGTTTTCTTGTGTTACTTTTCGTAAGTGAAATGCTGATGGATAGGAGGAAACAACAGGTGGAGAGGAGTAATCAGAACCACTTCTCGTCCTATTACAAGCTGCCAACATACATAGCAAGGTAAACAGCGCCACCGTGTGGTTAGATTTCCGACAGATTAGTGGCCACCCAGTCGTGTTTATCTATTATTTATTAAACCTTCTCATATAACTGTCTGTTGGTGGGATTGCTGTCAAACTAATATTTATCATCTGATAAAATCACAGTTGTCACACAATCAACCACAAAATACTCATGTACGTCACAGTTGTACTTAGGTGGAGTTTTTAATGGAGGAAACAAGTTTTCTTTTCTTTTTTTTCTTTTTTTTATTGTTACCCTTCCAAAACATAATAGGATTACATTAATTTAGTTTGCTTATCGTGATGGTCCGATCACAATGAATTGAGGGTGGAACTAGTCTCCCCCCCACCCCCCTGAGGCGGAGAGGGAGAGAGAGAGAGAAAGAGAAAGAGAGTCAGAGAGAGAGAGAGAGAGAGAGGGAGAGAGGCGTATCCCGGGAGACAGAGAGAGAGAGAGAGAGAGAGAGAGGCGTATCCCCGGAGACAGAGAGAGAGAGAGAGAGAGATGTCGTGGATCTGTTACGGTGTAGACCAGAAACACCGTCACTTTAGACTTTAATTGTAGCGTCTTTATTGTTTTTTAACTGTATTGTAGACACCGTTTTGCTAGAATTAAAACTTTTTAGACATATTTCTGCCGCCTTGATAACGCTGCTAAAGTTGGCCTGCTTTGTTTCTCATCTCCATTACTCGACAATCTGGACCCCAGTGCACAGTAAGCTGGATCAATGTTACTCTACACATGGAGACTTGACAGGATGATGATGTTTTACTAGAATTATCTGGGCAGGAGACGAGCTGATCGGTGTGATGAAGGACCGACTGGCCGAACTGACTGTTGTGAGTCTATGTTCTTGCTTTAACTGTTTACAACGTGACAGCTTAAACGTGCTGGCATTACAAGAAGTCACTCACACACATTTTGCTTCACCTGTACAGGGTACGTCACGAGCAGAGGTGGATGTCACAGTCGCAGTGGACAGAGATGGCTTCATGGAGAGCTTTTTCAGGAGGGTGGGTTTCACTGCAACTTCCAGGATGTGCACACGTTTGGGAACAGATTTGGGTTCATTCAAGACCCTGTTGTCTTGTTGATTGATTTAGGTGGAAGAAGTCAGAGGACTCATTGATAAGGTCTCCTACCAAGTGGAGGAGGTGAGGAAGATGCACAGCATGATCCTGTCTGCACCCAACCCAGATGACAGTAAGTGTGTCTTTACAAAGGATTAGGGTGAAGACAGAGAACATTTGAATTTCAATGGTGACATGTTTGTTGTTTTCAAGGGTTCATTTGTGCATTCAGTTGTATTGACAACTGCTTTGCTGGAGTTTGACTTTTGAGGCACAGAGTGAAAATGTCTCACTTCCTTTGTTACATTTTCCTCCTCATTGTAAATGAATGGCTGCCTGGCCGGAAACCTGTGAAGGAAACGGCTCCTTTTTCCTCCCGAAAACGCACTAACCATTATAGTTTAGGCTCTGACTTGTTCTGCCAGGAACCTTTAAACAACCAGGGATTCAAACATGCTGTCATTTGCAGATGTTTACAGGCACCGGTGTATTATGTACATTTTCTTTTACTGATCAGATACATTTATAAAGTATTTCCAATGATTCAAAGCTCCATGAAAGCGAAAACAGTGTTACCACTCGGTGTACTCAGTTCCTGGCTTTGTTCAGTGTGTGAGCCTCAGGACCCTGCAAGACAAAGAGCCAGTTTCCAATGCCATGGCATCATCAGTGGTTATGTTTAATGTAACACAGCACAGTGCTTTAAGATCCATGACGTGGAAATGGTCACCAGGGAGAGAAACAAAGAGCCTTGTGCTGTGTGACCTCTGCAATATTGCCACAGGATTGTTGCCAAGTTACAAGATGAAATCCCAGTAAATCCAATATTTACATGTGAGCGAGGCGCAGCGATTAGCTGGATGACATTATTTTTCCTCCTCACTAAACCAAGTCTGACGAGTTTCTTATTCCTGTTTGTGTGAAGGAACAAAGGACCAACTGGATGCACTGACCAACGATATCAAAGGCAATGCCAACGTGGTGCGAACTAAACTAAAATGTGAGTTGAACTATGACCTGATGGTCATCACACTTGTTCATTGACTTCACATTACAAAAGCTGATGTTGTCGGCTGCTGTGTAATGTATCATCACTCTGTCCCTCTAAAGCCATGGAGCACAGTATGCCCAAAGACGACGCAGCTAACAGATCTTCGGTTGACTTCAGGATCCAGAAAACGCAGGTCAGGAAACAGATTGATGGCTGCTAAACTCCTGACATACACACATATTACATATCCTGCTCACACACACGATCGTCATCTGCCATCAAACATCAGGAGGGAAATGTTTTTGAGAAGGTGTATCCAACTTGTAGACAGATAAGGAACATTCTAATTATTCACTGTCAAATTCCCAAATTGACCTGCCACATTCTTTATTTTACAGGATGTGTTTGTAGATTGGCATTGTATTTCTTTTGTTTTATAAATACTTTTGAACCGCGCAGAGAATGACCCATTAAAACGTACTTTTAATTCAAACAGTGTACGTGTCTTTTACAGAACTGCTTTCAGGGCTGTTTAGTCACAAAAGTCCGAACGCCCTCATTTTCCCCCTCTGTGTTTTCTCTTGTCCTCAGCACACAGTGCTGTCCAGGAAGTTTGTGGAGGTCATGACCCAGTACAATGAGACTCAAGTGTCCTTTCGGGAAAGAAGCAAAGGGAGGATCCAGAGACAGCTGGAGATAAGTAAGTGAACAATAATGGACCCCCTAAACCCTTGCAGGGCCAGGAATTATGGACTATATTTATAGAGTAGCCTTTGATCATAATGAATGTAAATTGCGACTACAAACAGGAAATACTCCTGTTTCTGTTAACACATCAATGGCTTGAATTTGGTTGCTCGGACACAATTTGTAAATGTGGAGATAAAAGAGTGACAAATAAAACCTTGAAGCCGTGTAAGGACAGGATCCAGGAAACAGACCGCACCGGTTTCCTCTAAGTGTTGACAAACAGACACCAGCAGCACGGCCAGATTTTTTTCAGATTTCTTCAAGTGGTTTTCTACAGAAAACAGAGTCACAAGTGATCTCATCCAAACACTGGATTTTGAATGCTTTGTGAGTTTTCATGGAACTTAAATGAGCAGTAGTTTTAGTAGTAGGATCGATCAAAGAATAGGAGAGCACCAACCGGTTCTATAAGGACACATAAATGGCAAGAGTTAGTTACTGACAAACCAGAATGAATATGTGGAGTCATTATTACTAGGATGTGTAAAATAGCAGCATAGTATATAAGTGTATTAGCATTCATACAAGCTAATTAGTTTTAACTTGGTATTTTCCATCATGTTCGGTCCTCTCTGTTCAGAATTACAGCGACAAACGAATGTAAAGAGTGCATTGTATTATGCACATGAGTAACACGAGACAATATGAAAAAAAAAAAATAGGACTGTCTCTCGCAGTCCCAGCGGCCAGCATTAATGAGCGGCTCTAGTTCTCCACACTGCAGACGGGAGAGCCTGATACTGGAGACGCCTTGTTGTGTTTGTGTTCCCTGGGAAACGGGCAGAGCGCTCAGCGGCCAGTGTAACAGTAGTTCACCTGTCTTTGACACGGCCACATGAAGCCGTCTGTGCCGCCGTGGACTTACACCATTTATTTACTTCATTCAGAAGTGATACTTCTCTGCGTGGTGTGTGTTGATGTGTTGTAATGGTGGTGTGTTTTTGCTGTGTGTTGGCTCTGGCTCTCTGGGGAATATTGCAATATTGGTGTGTGACATACAGTAAGCACAGAGATCTCTCTCTCCAGGGAGGCTGTTGTACAATAGGAGACATGGCTCCAGAAAAAAGAAAGCTTTCTGTTGATAGAGTTTCAGCAGCTGTTTGTCTATGAGGGCTGCTGGCTTCCTTTTGTTCCTCAGACACCTCTATGCATCGTCACAAAAACAACCCCCACTGATAAATGCTTTAGCTGTTCCACTGAGATTTGTCGTTTAATTGCCGCATGTTCATATTTAGTACTCAAAATGAGTCAGTATTATGAAAACACTAGTCATTTGGTTCTTAAAAACATGTTAGCAAAAATCATCTTAACTTTAACAGAAACCCTCAGTGTGCCTCTCTTTAACGCCGTCAAACACAGTATCAGTAATTTCATATTTGTCTTAACTTATTAAGAGATATCTCTCACTACTTGGGGAAACGTTAGCATTGTGTTTGTAGCAGTGTCTCCTGGCTGGATAACAGAGACATCATTATTCTGTCAGCTCAATCCACGACGCTTCTTCTCCTCACACAGCTGGCTTCATACACAGATGTATTACCCTGGAATCAAGCACACAACAGTATATATTGTACAGGCATTTGTTGTTTACATTCTTGACATTAGTGGATTGGAGTTTTGTCGATTAAATGTCAGAGTTGAGTTTTTATGTTTTTTAAAAGCATGCCACAAGAATGACGAACACAAGTCCCTGATTAAAACAGGATGCGTCAGATAAACAGTCTTTTAGTCAAAGACAGCTGTTTAAAACCATAACCAAATATTATCTGATAAATAATAGATCAACAGATACATGAAATGATGACTTCTGCATTTAACCCATCCTTCAGGAGGGAGTTTCTGTTCATTGCTGGATAATCATTGTCTGCTATTTATTCTTTTAGCTGGAAAAGTGACCACCGATGAAGAACTAGAGGGCATGTTAGAAAGTGGAAATCCATCGATCTTCACATCTGATGTAAGTTTTCTCTTAAGCTTTACCGTGCAGTACAGAGTTTAACCCTACCTCTCTGTGGAGGATGCCAAAACGTTGACCCATGCCTTTGTAATTTCCGGTCTAGATTACCGTAATGCACTCTATACTGGATTGTATTATTTTGTTTACGCTCCTTGTGTCCCCCACCTGTGTTATTGTTTTATTTATTTTGTAAAGCACTTGAGCTGCATTTCATGTTATGATAGGTGTGCATTATTATTATTATTATTATTATTATTATTATTATGGTACACTATTGTTGCAGGGTTAAAAGCTAATAGTGCCATCTGGTGGTAGAGGAGGAGTAAATCATTTGGTGCATTTTTTTAATTTTATTTACTCACACACACACACACACACACACACACACAGACAGCTGGGAGCATTTGTTTGGTGTATTTACATGAATTATTTTACCTTCTCTCCCTCAGATCATTTCTGATTCCCAGATCACACGTCAAGCCCTGAGCGAGATAGAGTCCCGACATCAGGACATTATGCGTCTGGAGTCGAGCATCAGAGAGCTCCATGCGATGTTCATGGACATGGCGATGTTGGTAGAAACTCAGGTAACAGTTGGATCTAAGTGGAGCGGTTCATAGCTGAAATTTACTCTTTAGTTAGTCAACGTCTAATAGTTTATGCTTTATGATAGTTTATAGCCACTGTGCTTCTTTACTAATACTACTGAGACAATATTCTGATTCTGTCATTTACAGGGCGATATGGTTAACAACATCGAGAAGAACGTTTCCAATGCAGTCGAATACATTTGCAGTGCAAAGGAAGAGACTAAAAAAGCAGTGAGATACCAGAAAAAATCCCGGAGGGTATGCGTTTTTTTTCTTCTTTTTTTAAATACGTAAATGTCAATTATACAGGATATCAAAGTCACATGTGACCACTTAAGATGACTGCATTCATCTGTTTAAAGCCTCTTTTAATGATACCTTACTTTTAATTGATGTTCAAATAACACCCTCTTCTTCCCTTGACAGAAATACATTATCCTTGCCTTTGCTCTGTTGATCCTGCTTGCTGTCATTGCTCTAATTGTTGGCCTGTCTGTTGGACTAACCAAACCCCCTGTATGAGAACTACTGATTACTGCCTGAGGTAACCATCCACAGCTTCCATTCCTAAAACACCACATCCATCCACTCACCTATACATCCAGGAAGTCATTTACTCATTTAGCCGTTTACTGGTTTACAGGATATGTAATGCAATATTTGTCTCTTTCCTTCTCTTCTTGACAGAAACTCCTCGGCCTTATCATGTGTGTGGTCGCAGGTTTACTCCTTTTGCTCATCATAATAGTTGGAGTCTTTGAGTCATGAGTCACACCCTCACAGCAGTCAGCTGTATGCAGGTCCAGTACAGTGATGAAACAAAGAACAGCTTCATAGTAAGACAACAATAAGTCATTCACTATCGAAGAGCATTACAGAGGGGATCGCGCTGAAGTAAGTATAACGTGTGTGTGATCCACTTTGCACCAGTACCATCAGACCTCATGATATACCGTCCTGGGGCAATTCTGTACTGTGTTGCTCGAACAAAGCCTCCTGTCAGCACACATCCTTTTCCCTAAGCGGTCATATAATGAATGCTGACAGCACATCCGATTTTAAAACTGGTGTGCGTTCTGTATCGCTGACATTTGTTCATGTAAAAGGTAGGGTTGGTAATCTTCTTTAAATTTCTTTTTGATATTTCTGTTGAAATTGTCATTACATCCTGACAACAATCAATGAATCAAATTCTCTGATGAAAACAAGAAACAAGAAACCAGTATGTAATGGTTGGACGGGCTACCTACCTGCCCGTCTACCTGCTGCCTGAGCGTTTTCTGCCCGTGCACTCATTGGTCTTCCACAAGCTGCCAGCTTGACCGCTGTGAGTACTAACAGTAGCATGTTCATTGTTTACACTCATGATAACTTTGAGGTAGTGGTTTTGGAGGAAGGGCGGTCAGTGATGGCGACTTTCTTGCAAATTTAGCATCTTTTGAAACTAGTGCTGCTACCTACTTTCATTGGAAAAGAGTTGCCAACACTGGGCGGGGCTTTTCGGTTCGATAATTAAAAAAAATGTAGCCTACTTTTGCTAGTTTCTCAAGATTACCAACTGTAGCTTTAAGTATCATTCGCAGATATTTCTTTGTCGTTTGTCGAAGGACATTTTGGGAAATAAGCTCATTCGTCTTCTTGCCGAAAGTTAGATAAGAAGATTGATTACCACTCATGTCTGTACCAGCAGTAGCTGTGGTAGCTTAGCTTAGCATAACGACTGGAAACAGACAAACAGCTAGCCTGGCTCTGCCAAAAGTAACAAATATGGCACGTTACGGGTTTACAGGGGTTTTATGCCAAACTATTTCTTGGCCAGGCGCAGTGACTTCCACTTCTCCTGGTACATAGGCCTTGGAAAATCCACAATGTGTCGTTTTTACACTTCTGTTTGTGTACAGATTAAACAAACAAGATATAATGTGGTCGTCTGAGAGTTTTAGAGACGGTGGTAGGCTGATTTTGTTATCTTTTGGCAGAGCCAGGCTAGCTGTTTCTCTTTGTTCCCAGTCTTTGTGCTAAGCCAAGTGGCTGCAGCATCATATTTGGCGTGCAGACATGAGAGTGGTATCCATATTCTCACCTTACTCTTGACAAGAAACCAAATAAGCATTGAAATATAGATATTAAATTCTCTTTGTAAATGAATTGCATAATTTGTGTTTACATGTTCATGTGTATGATCCTTATGTTCTCTTGTCCTTTTATGCATTTCCTGTAATTCATGTGAATTGAATGTAAAACTACTACAGCTCAGGAGTCCTTTAGAAATAGAACATTTTTAAAATATATTCTCTGTATCATTTCAAGTTAACTGTGTCTCAATCAGACGAAATATCTTCAGATCAATCGAATTTAATTCATCATCTCATTCAATAACTCAAAATCAACAATCTTATAAAAGTTCCTTGACATTTAATATGAAACCTTAACTTATTGAATATATTATATTTATCCCGATCAAGGTGTGTGATGACTGAAATGTTTATTGTGAAAAGAGTTGCGCTACATTGTAGGACTCTTGGATTATGTTGTTTCAAGAGCACACATTTTTAATTTTGATACATTTGATTCTTGTAAGTTATATATTGTATTTTATATTGAAACAGAATACTTAAGTCATGTAATTAAAAGATAAAGAGTAAAAAGACTGCAGAGAGTATTGTTTGTCTATTTCCTTTCACATTGAAGGTGCTGAAGTTTAATTTATTAAGTCATAAATACTGGAGCACTTTTAAATTGCGAACGTCTGAATTTGTCAGACAGAATTAAGGTTATTTTCTGTGTTCTTTTAGCACCTCCAAACATTTGGAGGTTCGGTTTGTATGGAGGAAAACAGAAATAAGCAGAGGGTGCTGTTTACTTGAGGACTAATGAGCACTTTGCACAAAACGCTTGACTTCCATGTAATCAACCAAACGAGATTAGTGAAGAAAGTGGAAGTAAGTCCCCTGAGGGCAAGTTCTTTTCTCTCTTTGAATTAGATCAAAGGAAACTTCAGAGGTGCATTTAGAGTGAAAAAGCGAATGTCCTTAAAATCGGTGCATGAGGGTGTTTTCAGGTCACTGAGCAAGACATCCGAGATGTCAAAAGGGATATTATGAACTGTGATTTAACTTGGACACAGCAGTTTATGTGGATGAGTAATCTCTGTGGCCAGCTGTAGGTGTTGGAAGCTTTGACGAGAACAAATGTTCAGAAATAATATTTTGAGATGTATGGAGGGTTGTTTATTCGAATTAGTGTATTTCTGCTTTGAAAAACACTATTACGGCATAATTCAAAAGTATACACCATGTTCCATACTGTAAACGGTGAGAGTACTCTCACTGTGGCAGTCGGCAGGATTGAGAATAATCACTGTTGATTATATTTTCTCCACCCTGCTTTTTCTTTCTGATTTTAAAAGTCTAATATTAATTCAGACAATTTCTTTTTTTAGTTGCGTCTTTTGCCAATTTGTTGGCTTTTTCCTCGATACCTGAATGAATGTGATATTTTTCATTTTGATAACTGTTCTTGAATCAGTGAACAAGAGTTCATAAAGCAGATACTGATGAGTGGGCGACTTGCTGGAGGCTACCTGTCTTAATGCCTGTTGAGCCCGTTCCAACCCCATCAACCTAGCAAACAGTTCGACATCCAAATCTGTTGGTGCTCTGTAATCGTTCTGCAGTCACGCCTCCTCGTGACCTTGTTCATAGCAGAGAAATGAAGAGGCTACAGCGGGAAATTCAGATGCGACAAAGTCTTCTTGGGCTCAATTCCCCCCCCTATTGTTGGAGCAACAGGGGCTCCAGACCACAGTGCAGGATGCAGCGAGACACCACAGGTTAATAAGGCAAAAAAAAAAATATTTAGATTTCACCATGACACCTTCCAAGTAAATTACTTACATTAAGACTTTTTTTGTATTGCAAGTTTAAATATGCAAATGAGGCATTATGTTATCAAATTTCCAGAACAGATTTCTGGACATTGGATAAAGCCAGGTTGAAAATGATTGTTTAATTTTGTTTACATGTTATAGTCAAAGGTTTTTTACAGAGGAGATTTTAGATATCTTTTTATCACATCACTCCATTAATCAGAGAATACTGTCAACAGCTATAAACAAAATTATATTTTCACCATGTTTTTAGGAATAAAATGTTCCATAAATCAGGCAATGAATCATAACGAACCCTCCTGTAGCCTTCGGGATATAGATAGGAGTAAAACTGGAGAGTTTAGTGTTATTAAGTGGAGATTTCTAGGTCAGAGTATGAGAAAAAAAACTTATTTAGAGATGACTGCTTTCTATTGTAAAATTGAATATGCTGTTGGGTACAAAAACGTCCTCAGTTGATGACTTATGTAAGCACTTCCTGAGCACACTATCGGATGATATATGCACAAGCGGTTAACCGGTACTTTTCAAACAGTAGAAGAGGAATAAAAACACCAGAAAACCTGCTTAGATTACTTAGAACCAGCTCTGCTTACAACACATTTCGTCAATGTCTTATCAAAAACACACAATTCAATTAAATTATATGAATTCTTCTTACTCTCTGTAACAGAGTATAGGCTACACTGAATTAGCGTTAGCTATGAATCACCAGAGAATTGAAAACCCAGATCATTAAATACTTCGTACAGAAGAACTTTCAAACTTCAAACAAAGCGTTTATACTTTCTATTCTGCATGGCTTGTTTTCTTTCTGCTTTTAGCTTGTATAGCTCTTCTGCCTCATTCTACTCTGCCTCGAACCAGGAAGCGCTGTTGTTGTTTTTACTCTGCAGCCATCACTGCCCTCTGCTGGACGGAAATGGTTATTGCAGATGGGAAATTACTGGAAATATTCTCACCCTTATTAGAGTTTTATTTTAGTGGGTTTCACTTACATTAAGACAATTTTTTTTTCTATCTAAAATTTTTCTGAAATTGTCTGATTATACATGGAAGTGAGGCATTATCTAATGCTAAGTTTTGTTGAATTTAGGAGAAATCTACAGATAGACAAAGTGCAGTAAAATAAAAACTAAAATGTATATTTTGGATATTTTCTTTCCAGAAGTCTCCTTTTATGGTCATCCATGCAGCCTGATGAAGAGAGACAGAAAAGTAGTGAACAAACTATGCAGGAGAGACCAAAAAATCACAGACTACTTTTATTTTATGTGTGCATGACTGATGCAACATTTCAGCCACAGATGAAAGATATATGTAGAAAGATTTTTCTGTTATAGTGTGGACTGTATGAGATATGTCTCTGCGAGTGAATTGCGTAGTACAATAAAGTGCTTGGTCTAACTGGAATTGGAGCTGACAGGGAAGGAAAATAGTCTCTTCTGCAGTGCTTCTTTGGAGAATGCTGGCCTGGATGACCCAGTGGAGACTGTACTGTAAGTGATGACCGGACCACTGGACATTTTAATTGCGGCCTCATTTCTGCTGGAGCCCGGCTTATCCTGCATCAAAGGTGGGTCGTAAAATATTAAACAAATCTATTTGATTTTGTAGAGTGTTATTAGTCTGTAGTGGAATTATAGCCCACAGCTACTGTGAATCACAATTTCATGTACAATGAAAAGTTTAAACTCCAGTCGGATTATAATCAAAATGTCTTCTTACCTTTTTAATATGATGTTTTTTTAAACTAGAAATACATTCAAAAAATTGTGTAGATTCAGAAAAACTAAATAAAACTTACACTCGTCGTTTCTACAGTGACGCTTTAAAAACTGTTTTTATCTCCATGTGCATGTGATACAATAATCTTTTAAATGTCATCAACGAAAACTGACAGCACAAGGTTCTTTCAGAGGAAATACACTTATCCTCTAAATACACAGTACATTTCTCACATGCAGCTCTTGTCTGTTTTTTGTTGATCAACAAAATTCAATTTGAGATGGTTTTGTCGTTGTATGTATTTCCTGTGGCAGCTGTGCCATCTTTTCTGTCTGTGTGTACTGACAATAATCCAACATCCATTTTTATGTAACTCTGCTGAATACAGATATTTATAATCCGAACATGCTGGAGTTATGACATCAACCGGCACTGCTGACCATGACAAGCATTTGGGGAAGCATGCAAGCCATTCTGTCATGGTAGGTTATGGCTTGTAACAAACAGGGAATGTATTATTGAGATGTTATGTGATTGATGCGTGGCTTAACTTGACATCTGTTTCTATGTGCCAGGGGACAATGGGTTGTCAGAAGACTTGCAAGGTGGAGAAACTCCTGAAACAGTCGCAGTGGGAAGTAGCGTGGAGCCAGAGACAGAGGTTAGCCACAGTAAAGAAGAACAGCCGGACGAGAGGCACAGATAAGGTGAGCGCTGTGTGGTGTTTGCCTGTGTGGTGGATCGTAAAGCTCTCGATGAATAAGCTTTGATTCGTCCGTGTCTGGACACTGGCGGGATCAGCACTTGTTGATGCCTGTAGCCATAATCTGACCTCAGCCTGCACTCCTCAGCCAAGACTCTTTACCGTCACCAAGGCTCAACATTAACGGATGAAACCATATGTGGCACTCAGTGATTGTATTTTCATCTCTTATCCATTTAGCAACCAAACAAACAAGACGCTGTAATGCTGTAAATGTTCTGTACTGTAAGTGGCATTTGCTTGTTTGCAAAGAGATTACCCAACATGTCATTATGTAATATGCATTTTACTAAATATAACCTATAATTTGACATTTCCTACAAATTAATTCCATTTGGGCATTTTTTTTTTTTGCATTAGTTTAAATCAGTACATACCCACACCTAAACACATATGCTTATATTTGTGGAAAACCTATTTTATACTATATTTTTAATTACTTAATAACCATAATATGACTTACAAGATGCGGTTTAAAAGAATATGAATGTCAGGTGGAAAGTAAACACTATACACCACAAGGACGGACATGGAGTTGTGGAGTAAGATAAGTGTAGTGACATTTCTCTTATCATTAATTGTCGTGGCATTTAACTACTGGCATGGCATTCCTGTATATACAATAGAGATTAAGAGTTGTTCAAGCATCGATAGTGCAGAAATCCGTTGATAGAAAATGAAATGCAATTAACTTATTAAATTAATTTGATGTAATTTTGTTGTGGTGATCAAGTAAAACTAGAATTTTACACATGCATTAAGCCCAGTGTCTGCCATGTGTTATGCATATACTTGAATCAAGAAACATTTCTAGATTATATTTAGGAATTTTAATTTGAAGATATTTTTTGTCATAATACCTACTGCTCTTGTGGTGAAGTGGCGCATTATGAAGAAAAATGTTCCATCATCTCTACTTTACCTCTAGCTTAGTTATGAGATCCAAATATTAATTCAGTTTTTCTACTACTGATAAATTGGTCAAAAGCAATCTACAACACTCATGGTGGTACTCATGGCTTACTTCCCACGGCTCCTCTCACTTTGCATTTATATTGAAACAGAGCAAATAAAACAAGATCATTGTTTGTTGTGTGGATGCACCTCAGACGTTTGGCTGGAGTTATCTAAACACACCTTGTTAAGTATAAAATGTCTTTTGAACAAATGCAGATTAACTTTAGACTAAATATGTTCAAACATGTTTTTTTCTATTGTCAATATCACAGATTTGATTATGCTACATTGTGATCCTCTTTTTTTCAATGA